GGGTACCTATCTGTCTCTACCCCAAAGTACAGGGTACCTATCTGTAATTTACTCTTTATTTTATTGGTTGAAGTAGGTAGGTTGTTCCTAGCCTTTTTTACTTGGATGTAGGCTGTGTGTGTGTGTGTGTGTAGAGCAAATAGTTGAGTGAGAATTTAGTTTCCATAGATAATGGTCCTATACAAAAGAAGGATCAGTTTTGTGCAAATGTCTTTTTGGATGGGTAATTTGGTATATGCTGGAGGATTCTTGTGTTGCATTTCTTTGGCAGATGACATAGTTTTGGTTGACAAGTTTGTATTATTTATTTATTTTTATTTCATTCTAAACACTAAATATTTCTGTACTAACATGTGACCAAAGAGACAAAAATGATGTACAAGATGGACACCAGCAAGGAGCCTATCTCATAACCTGTACATCTGTTGCTTTTAAACAGTAAATATTTCTTTTATTCTTTTTTCCTTGCTTAGGTTGCAATACTCTGTATGAATCGAGTACATCTATTGCTTTTAATATAATTTTTCTTTACTATGGTAAAAGCTTTGCACATAATCAGGTTTTACCCTTGAAATAGGGTCTCAGTATACTATATGCATTACCATCTTGGTTTTTCAGCTGAATTTTTTTTTTTGGATTGGATGCATGTTAAATTTGAAGACAGAAGTAAGGCGGGAATCTAATCTCCGTAGCATTTTTATTTTAAACTTTTCTCTTTTTTGCATCTTTTCTGTTTTTTATTAAAAAAATTTCTAGTTACATCTGATGGTGGGAAGGAACTTTTAATTGCCCCAACCCATTTCTTTCACTGCAGCTGATGATATTAGCTTAATAGAAGCACTAGGGAGATTGACCTTCTTGCTAAGAGTAATTTGGGTGGGTTAAAAGAACAGTAAAGGGATTGGCAGATACCCTAGCAAAACAGGGTGTTGATAGGCCTATTCTATTTTGGGCAAGACTATAGCTGGTTGTAGCAAAACAGAGAGATGACGATCCTTGTAATCTGGGACAAATTGTATATTGATATACTGTGGACAGCAGAGTAGCTAAGCACTTGTTGTCTGTTTTTAAATTAACAAATAAAATCTTTTTGCTGATAAAAAAACAGAGAGGCAGTATTTGTGGAGAAGATTTTTTTTTTTTTGAGAAAAGGTAATGTAATCTTTATTGATAGGAAATGCTAGTACAAAGGCCCTCCCAACTAAACACCTTAGATGGGGAAACAGCCCAAACATAGCAAAATTACAGATGCCATAGGCTCCTAGAATTTAGCCTAGCCCCCAACTGAGCAGCCTGAATTCCCTTCGAAGCTGAGACCCATGAAGTCAGCTTTCCAAAAGAAATAGATATCAGGTCTTCCGGATCCTTATAGATATTCTGAAATAGTCTTTTGTTCCATTCTGCCCAAATGGTACTGATGACCGCAGCCGGAATGGACATCCACACAGCTGAAGCAAGCTTTGACAATCCTTGTAATCCCCAGCTCCACAACATCTCCTTCACCAAAGCCGGCATTGACCAGGCAAGACCCACTGAACCAAGAAAATGATTCCAAATTCTAGCAGATATTGAGCAGTGCAGAAACAGATGACTGTTATCTTCCACTCCTTGACCGCATAGCACACAATTCTGATCATGAATATGAACTCCTCTCTTACAAAGGTGGGCTTTAGTTAAACACCTGTCTAGAACTGCAGCCCACACTAGAGCATTGATTTTTGAGGGAGAGGTTGGATTCCAGATTCTGGAAGCAGGCATGTCTTCTGAAGCACTCATTGTCAGGTGAGTGGCAAATGAGTTAACTGAGAAGAGGCCATCTGTACTCCAAGTCCAGGACCAGCTGTCTTCTTTGAGCAGATTTAGGGGTTGAAGGGAGAGCAGATCAAGTAGATCAGCCAGGGCAGGAATTTCCCAATCCTGAAAGTTCCTTCTGAAAGAAGGGCACCAGGCTACTGAGTTCCCCACCACCCCAAAACATTCAGCAATCATTGCATCTTGATGATCTGCTAACTAAAATAGATGTGGGAATAACTCTGAAAGAGGAGTGTTCCACACCAGGGATCTTTCCAGAAGGACAGCCTGTCACCCTTCCCAAGGTTGGGGCTTAAACCTCTGAAAATATGGTGTGGTAAGTCTTGGGTGGGAGTCAGAGGAGGTGAGGTCATCTTATGGGGTTTGTGTGTGAAGGGAATTATGAGTTTTCGTTTAGCATTCTTAAATTATGTGATTTTTCAGGTTGGGGATGGTGCAAGGATAAAATTTTGGGAGGATGTCTGTATAGAGATTGGGAGGCTATGTAATATTTGCCTAAGGTTGTATAGGTTGAGTGAGAAGAATACTTCAATTTCCCAAAGTTTTGAAGTTAATCAAGGTGCTGTCGTTTGGTGTCCTATTTTTAGAAGACCACCGTTAGATAGGGAGGTGGATGAATGCTTAAGGCAGTTGTCTAAGTTACAAGCTGTTGTCATGCAGGTTGACAGAACTGATTCAAGATGGTGGAAAGAGTGCAGGAATGGAATTTTTATGGTAAAATTCTTTTATAGTCTTGGCAAGAAACCAGGTGGGAAGAACCCAAACTGAAGGTGTGTGGGGAAATCTGGTTTGGGATTGAGTACTTTGCTTGGCTTGTTTCGCTGGACAGTATTCTTACCCAACCATGGTCATTTGAAAAGCAGAGGATTTCAATTGGTTAGCAGCAGAAGATACTTTTGTGGAAGTGCAGAGGAAGATGTGCTTCATTTTCTTGTTGGCTGTGGCTTCTCAACTTGCTAGAGCGTCTTCTGTACTGTTTGCTGCTCTTGCAATTAACCTGAATGAGTAGTTTGATATTTCAGTGAAAACCTTTATCTCTTTAACTAAGATTCTGAAGGGACACGTTTCTCCACTTGAAGACAAATAGCTCTTTTTTTTTTTTTTGAATAAATGAAGACAATTAGACAAATAACTCTTCACTACTTGAAAATCCCCTTAACAACATTCAAGCTGGTTTCAACTTTAATAAAAAGCTAGTTTTACTTCTTGAAACAGTGTGAGCTGTGAAGCTCTTGGAACACAACATGAGTTTACCTTCCTAAGGCAACAGGAGAAAAGGGGTAGATGCATGTGGAAGACAGTACGTGCTACTGTGGTTTGGTCTATTTGGGAAGAGAGAAATCAGAAGATCTTCAATTGAAAAAGCAAGTCCTTAGACGAGATGATTGAAGCCATCAGAATATAAGAGTGGACCAATTGGGTCAAAGCCTTGGAATTGTTCAAAGGTATTCCCACGGATGACTTCTTAAGAAATTGGACAGAAGTGACACTCTCAGAACCACATAGAGAAACTATAAGAGTGGAATGGGGCAAATAAACTGAAACTAAACTTCGATGGGAGTTCATTTGGCAACCCAGGAAGAGCAGGAGTAGGGGGAGTCTTTCAAGACCATCATGGAGTAGTGCTGGCCTTGTTCTGAGGACCAATTGGGTTTGCAGACTTGATTCAAGCTGAGTCAAAGGCTCTATCTATGGCAAGGACTGAAGCTTTCTGAACAGTGAGGGGCAAGAGAGCTGGAAATTGAAGGAGACTCACTTCTGATTATAACATGGGCAAAGCAAATTGAGTCAGTACCTTGGAAGCTAAGATTCACTTTTAGACAGATTGATCAACTTGCAAAGAGATTTAACTCTACTTTCAATTGGGTTAAAAGGGAAGCTAATGGGTTAGCAGATATGTTAGGCAACCAGGGAGCTAATAGACCATCCTTATTTTGAGCAGTATTGTAAACTACCTTGTTTTGGAAAGTATTGTATCTTAAATTCCGATTTAAATTAATAAATAAATTCCTTTGTTGATCAAAAAAAAGGCAAGAGGATCAAGTGAGATGAGAACAAGTCCATGATGTCCAATGGAGGATTCCAAGCAGCACCAAAGAGGGGGAAGTGGTTCCTTACCTCTCAAAGTGAAAATCAAGTGGATGAATAGGTATTTACATCTCCATTCTTCAAGCATGGGATGAAGACATGAGAGGAGAGTCACCAGCTTTGTTGTGTTATTTTTGGTGCTTGACATTTGTTCTTTTAACAGTATTAATCTCTTCTTATTTCTATTTTAAGGTACACAAATCTTGTATTCTTTATGCATCTTTAATAGAGGTTTCGTTGCTAGTGAAACCCTCTATGCAAGACTTGATTTTAGAAGTCTTGGGGGAGTTTGGTGACTTGGTTTGAAGTTCACTGCACGATTCAATAAAGGATCTGAGAAAATTTTAATTGGAGGAAGTCTCACTCCCATCTAGAAGACATCAATCCAAGATTGCCAACACTACTTGGGAAGGTTTCCAGGTCCTTTATTTTGTCTCTGAGCCTGTGTTTTAAACTTACTAGGTCTGCTTCTATCAGTACCTATTTTTTCCCTAAACAATTTTTTTGTCGTTTATTATTATTATTATTATTTATTTAACAATTTTGCAGGACTAACAAATTGACAGAATTTTTATGTAAAAGAAAGGAATGGGCATTGTTTCCAGAATGCTGGGATTATGGGGTCAGAAATCAACATTTTTTTTATGATGAGTCTATTGTTTGTGTGAATATTTCCCTTCATTTCAATAGTTATCTTTAATCTGGTTATTGAAAAGAAAAGTATTTTCATTTTAGGTCTGGGATTTAATGTTAGTGTTTACTGGGTAAGCACTTATGGGATTTTGAATTCATTCATCTCTTATTTTGGGCATCTGATTTTGTTTGGGCTTGGATGCTTGACAGTTGCTTCTTTTTTTGTAATTTATTTTAATATTTTATATATTAAAAGTACTTGAACTGAAATATGGTATCCCTTCTATAGTGAAAATTATACTAAATCTGTGATATGATATTCTTCTATATTGAAAATTATGATTTAACCACATGCAGTACTTGTGGAAGACGTGCATACCCATCTTGCTCTAATTTCTGTGTTGGGAAACAATGGCATGTGACTGCTATTACCATCTAACTAGTTTCTTTACTGCATCTGAATGCAGGTTGGATACATAGTTACATCGTGCTTGCTAAATGAGAACCATGACTTTCTAAGATTGGTGATAAATACTGTGCGCAATGATATTATTGGGCGTAATGAAACTTTCCAGTGTTTGGCCTTGACGATGGTATGCCATCCGGATAAATGCTTTAATTTTAAATTCCAATTTGTTATGCTATTTTAAACCAAATCCTATTCCTAATAGAGTTTTTGAATTTGTAATTAGATTCATAGATAGTTACCTAGAGTACAATGTTTTTTCATCTGCATATGAGTTTTCAGTAAAATTTATATTCACTATTCAATACTTTCCTATTGCATTCATGCTTAAGCAGCCTAAGTTGCATTTCCTGTATTTTAGACACTTCTGTAAGCTGGTAGGCTACTTCAAAAATAGTTGAGTATATTTAGTTTGGTGGTCTGGTTCATGATAAGAAGTGGAAGGTTGGTCTGGAACATGGTTCCACCAGTGGTATTTTGCTGCATATGGCAAGAGATAAATGTTAGGACTTGGAATCTGGTTGCTGGTTATTGCTGAAGTACATTTTCAAAGCCTTTGTTATCCTTTACTATTTACAGGTTGGCAATATTGGTGGGAGAGAGTTCGCAGAGTCATTGGCACCTGATGTCCAAAAATTACTTGTAAGAGAAAAAAAAAGCTTTTTCTTTCTTAGCATTAAGCAGAACATAGATGACATGAATTGCATTTTCTGCATCAGATTTCCAGTAGCTGTAGACCACTTGTGAGAAAGAAGGCTGCTTTATGTCTATTACGCTTGTATAGGAAAAATCCTGATGTTGTCAATGTGGATGGCTGGTAAATTTAGATTACACTTTCTATTTTATTCATTTCCTAGACTCAGTTCTAGGTGTTTTTCTGGTTAACCTTGGTTTTTCCCTATACTTTTTCAGGTCTGATCGCATGTCACAACTTCTAGATGAACGTGATTTGGGTGTTCTGACATCTGTTATGAGCCTCCTTGTTGCATTAGTATCAACTAACCATGATGCATATTGGAGTTGTCTTCCAAAATGTGTAAGGATTTTGGAGAGGCTTGCTAGGAACCAAGATGTTCCACAAGATTACACCTACTATGGCATCCCATCTCCCTGGCTACAGGTTTGTGCTTTTTTTGTTTCCCATTTTCTTTCTCTCTCATGAGCTACTGGCAACTCTCAGGGAGAAAGGAGACGAGTGTGCAACACTGATGAAAGCACTAGGTTCCTTTCTTTTCCAAGGTGTTCATTGCCACATTACTCTGCAAAAACATGGTAGATTGAAGATGTAATGTCAATGACAAGTTCTGATCTTACTATACCGAGCTTGAAAATTTCAAATGTCCATTCCTCTTTACAAATCTCGTCTTTGTGCTCCTGCATGTGTGCTCATCAAATGTTCTGAATCTTTGGGAGAAGCATAAAGACAAATAGGTTTTGTTTTTGGCTTATAGCAAGAGGATTTTTTGTTTTTGCTTTTATTTTTTAAATTGTCTCAGCGCCACATATAGGATTTACATCATTATCCACAAGAACTAGAAAATATGATATCAATTCAGTTCTGACAAAAATGAGAGAAATTGAAGCTACCGAACTTCACCAAAATGAATTACTTAAGGTAGTTCAAGTGTTCAACTGCTTCATTTTTCTGAATACAGTCAATTAGGGACATATCTTGTATCCAAAGATATGTCTTTTCCCTCCTGCCTGTTGACTTGTAGAGATGGCAAAGGGAGCCAAGTTCCAGACAGTGTGTTGTGTCCCTTCTTGTTGAACCCCTTAGCAGTCCCTTGAGGTAACTTATTTTAGCTTGCTATATATATATATAGATCAATAATAGAACATTTTATTAATGATAATATTAAGCAGGGTACAACAGTAAGTTTTGGGGAGAGGTAAACTCTCTTAACCCTCCCCAAGAAATAAAAAGCAGGTTACAACACTGCCCAGAACATTTATTCCCTTCCCACTCCTTGCTTAGCAAGAGCATCCACGAATGAGTTGGCACTTCTATTTACCCATTGAATCTCAACCTCTACTCCCTCAACAATAATCTTATGTAGATTCAATTCTTTCACCTTAACCTTCCAATGATGCTGCCATGATTTCAGCTCTAAGAGAATCCCCCCTTCCTCATCTTTGAATGTTCCTCCAATTCCTAAAGGTCTTGGATTACCATTATTGCTCCCATCAAAGTTTAGTTTAATAAATCTAGGAGCCTGTGTAGACCAGATGGGGCTGGAATTCACTTGGACTGGAGCTGAATTAGCTACTTCCTTCCAGTTTCCCATCAATACATGTGTAGATATATCTTGAAACAGCTCTGAAGATTTTACCCACTGCACCACTCTGATGGTTACAACTTCAATTATTGCCTCTTTATTTCTTTCCTTTTCAGTAAAAATCCATGAGTTCCTTTCTTCCCAGATTGTCCAACAAATGGTAACCCATACACATCTCCACATTACTCTGCCCCTTTTCTTTGACCACCTAGCAATGGAAGAAGCAAACCAACCTTGTATATTTGGCGATGGAGTCCACTTGCAACCAAACAAAGAACAGAACCAATCCCAAATAACAGAAGCAAAAGTGCAGGAGATTAATAAGTGATAACCATTGGCCTTGCAAAGTATGCACCAACTAAGGGATAAGCACCAAGTAGGTCTTTTCCTTTGAAGCAAAACACAGTTATTGCACATTAGGCTTCCCAACAAAAAGCTCCAACCCTAGGAGGAATTGGTTTACCTCATATCTCAAGAGAAGGAAAAGTTTGGCCATTACTAGCAGAGGATTGGACCAATGTTTTGAAGAAAGAGGCACAAGAGAACTCACTAGCCAAACTCAAAGTCCAAATCCTTCTATCTTCATTTGAAGGATCCAAAGCCACCTCACCCAGTATCTGAAGCATAGCCAAGACATTCTCAGCTTTAGAGTCCCTAAGACCCCTCTTGAGGCCCAAATCCCTATCAAATCCGTACCCTAATTCTGAAGGGGCCAAGAAAGTATTCACAGGCTCTTTTTTGAGTCATGAGAGAGAGTACAAGGAAGGGAATTGATCTTTCAAAAGCACATCCCCCACCTATATATGTTCCCAGAATTTCACACCTAAACTAGAGCAAAGGTCATACCTGATAAAAGGCATGGAGGAAGGAAGAAAGGCATGAATGGATTTCCATGGAGAAGCTATTTGTGGTTCTTGCCAATACTCCCACGTCCCAACCTAGTTGCTTGCTCACGAATGCTCAAAATTACCTTGGCCCACAACTTGTCCTTATCCTCTGCTAGTCTCCACAACCATTTCTTGAATAATGCCTGATTTCTCTTTTGAATGTTTCCAAAGCCTAATCCATCATTAGTCATGTGTTTAGTGACCATCTCCCAATTAACTCTATGATCTCTTTTCTTTCCCTTGGTTCCCATAAGAAATCTCTCATCAATTTCTCCAATATTCTACCCACTTTCTCTGGGATCCTAAAAATAGATAAAAAGTATACAAACAGGTTTGTCAATATAAATTTTATCAATGTGATCCTCCCAGACATGTACAGATAATTTTTCTTCCAAGAAGCTAACATGTTAGTAAACCTCTAGGTCCCAAAAATTCTTATTTCTTGGATTATCCCCTAAAGGCATCCCCAAATAATTCAAAGCCCATAGAGAAACCATGCATCCCAAAACTTCAGCCCTCTCTGTCATCTCCCTCTCATCCATATTTATCCCCATAACACAACTTTTATCAAAATTCACTTTCAAGTTAGACATCTCAAATAACTATACCGCCAACTTCAAATTCCTGACCCACCTAATATCCCCCCCCCCCTCATAGAACAAAATAGTGTCATAGACAAACTGTGAGTAAGAGATACCCTATCCCTACAAACCCTCCAACCCCCTCACTAGACTTCTGGAATCTGCCCTCTCTATTAGTTTGCCCAACACTTTAGCAATTAGAGTGAAGAGGAAAGGGGGGGGTCCCCTTGCCTAATCCCCCTAACTACCAAGAAGTGGTTTACCGCTGTTCCATTTTATAGAATTGAGTAATGGCAAGTTTCAATACACCTGTATCCATTTACACCATCCCTCCCCAAAACCAAGTCTCCATCACTTGTATTAGGAAAGACCAATTCACCATATCTTATGCCTTTTCCAATTCAACTTATATACTCACCCCCTTGTTTCTAGTTCTCTTTAAATCCTCCACTCTCGTTTCCGACCAGGATCTGATCAACTATTTTTCTATTCATCACAAAGGCATCTTGATTATGAGACACTCGGTGCGACAATCATCAACTATTTGTTTATTCATCACAACTCTAATTCTTCGAGAGAGCACATTGGCAATGATTTTTACACTATTCACCAAACTAATATGCCTGAACTCCTTTGGATGACTTGCACCAGATTTCTTAGGGATCAATGCAACAAAAGTAGAATTCAGCCCTGGATTGGTCATCCCTCTCTCAAAAAGCTCATTAAAAACCTTTTGATGTCCAACTTAAGAAAGTCCCAACAATCTTGATAGAAGGCCATTGTAAATCCATATGGACCCAATGCCTTTTAGATCTATCCATGAAGAAGATAGTTTCCTTTATTTTCTCCATTACCAAAACTCCTTTCAAACCATACTTTCAATTCCTCAGTCAATTTGGGCCAATCTAAACCCTCTAACCACAATCTACTCTCTAATGTCTTCTGTATTTGGATTTAAAGTGTTYCACAAATGCCCTTGCAATCTCCAAATGCTGTGTGAGAGTCACACCGTCAATCTCCAATTTATGAATGAAACTCCATTTGGCTTAGGTTTTGTTGTACCAACCATAGCTAACTGGTCAATCCCAGGCTGTCTCAGCATTACATTCCTCCTACTCTCCTCTCCAAAGACAAAGGCATAGGCCTAAGAGAGTGTCACACCCTCCATAGAAAAAATATGCTGCCTAACAATGTCAAATTTAGGGTTCAGCCCTGTCAAGAACTCAAAAACCCTATTCCTCTCTACCAGTCTGTGGTAAGTTGCTGCATCATTTACACTTTCCCATACCACAGTTTCTAAGTGATCTATTTCCTGCCATAGGGTTTCCAACATGGAGAAATACACAGCAAGAGGTTTTTCTCCCTGTTTCATACTTATCACCTGATTTCTTAACTGATAGGCTCTGGCTTCATTTTGCTTATGAGAGTAGGTTTTAGTCACTCCATCCCAAATCTCCTTAGCAGTATTAGCCCATAGGAATTTTTTTGCAATATGAGGTAACATAGAATTACACAGCCAAGACATTACCATGTAATTCTCCTGAACCCATCGGGAAGAGTCTATATCAGGTTTCTCCTCCTCCCTTATGAGATACCCTAATTTTCCACGAGCACCAATAGCCATCTTAGCTGATTGTGCCCACTCCAAATAATTTGTACCATCAAGTTTTACTGCAGTAATGATCMCAGACCCAAAAATATCACTACTACCTCCAACACCTAGTCCCACAGTACCAGTAGATTTCATTTCGGTATTCCAACTCTCCATCTTACTTCAAACAGTTCAACAGTAAGAAAAAAATAGATTGGAGACCTTCAAAAAATAATTTAATATCACACACACAGAAACCAACCCTTTCGAAAGAAGAAAACCCTAACTGGAGGGAAATCTCTCTCTCCTTTCCACGCCTCCCAACAGAGAGAAAAGTGAATCGATCACTCTGGGAGGCCCATAAAATTCCAAAAACCAAACCACCCTCTTCAAAAAATCAAAAGAAAACTAACAATACCTGGGCRCCCAAGATCAGATAAAAAACAAAGAGTCCAACTTTTCTGGGACTCTTCCTCGTATTCTAGTTCTTCTTGATTTTGATGCCGAACAGTAGATCACCTTTCTGATGAGTAGATCCCACCAAAAACTCCAAGAACTGGGCAATTTATAGCAGATTGATCAGCCCTTTACTACTTCATGCAGTCGGCTGATCTAGGGCTGCATGAGAATGCTTCAAGAAACCCTAGTCGGTGCTCTGATACCAAGTAGAAATCTGCTGAATTAAAAAAATATAAAAGAAAAGTAGTTTCTTGAAGAGAGAAGGAAGAGAGAAGGGGGGGAAGAAGAGAAGATGGAAAGAAAAGAGAGCAATAATCTGGCCGCCCCCTTCACTTATTATTTATACTAAAATAATAGAATAGTACAAAGACAACTATGCCCTTATAGGGCAGCAAAACATAAAACAGCATAAATAACACTCAAAAACATAATAAAATTTGGACTCACATAACTATTGTGGTCCCCATCTCCTATCTAACAACTAACATAAAACATCTACTCAGAAAAACATCATAAAACTAATTAATTTTCAACACATCCAAATCCTCAATTTGACTAATAATCTCATGTTTCCTCTCTTCAATCCTTCCAAATTGTTGAATGTTCTAGTCTTTGACTTGGCTTTTAATTCCTTTAATTTCCAATGGAATTTCATACCCTCCCAATTTACCCTTGGATTACTATCATTCCACCAATTCTTCACCTTATCAACAAATCCAGGGTGAGACAACCACATATTCTGAAATCTAAAAGGGGCTGGACCTCTATTACTCAACTCTTCTTTATCCATAGTAATAGGCCAATGATTAGACCCTAGGCAAAGCCCTGGAGATTACATCTCCCCAATGTTCCTCTCATTTGGTAGTGAACAAAAATCTATCAAGTTTAGAACATATAGGACTTGCCTGAAGGTTAGACCAGGTATAGTTATTATTGCAAGAGAAACACTTCTTTTAACTCAAAATTATTGATAAAGTCATTGAATTTACTCATGTTTGTGTTGACGCTTTGTCTCACCTTATAGTCTCTTCTATGAATCTGATTACATTAAAGTCTCCACCTATACACCATGATCCATCCCGAAGTCCACTAGTGTTCCCCAATTCCTCCCACATCTCCCGTCTTTTTAATGAAATTCTTACTTTACCTCTTCTGAAAAAAAAAATGCATCTATCCTCTGTCTAGACTTAATGGGAACAGTAAGGTTTCTAATATAAAGGAAGAGTGAACCTTAGTGGTGAATTCACAATGGAATAATTGGTGTGACACTTGATTCTTTCCTCTTGAACTTGTTAACTGAGTGTTCCTAGTTAGCGATTGCCCTTATATTTACACATTGGTTAGTCGATCCATCCAAACAGATCATTTGGAGGTGATATCCTTGTGTACTTGTTTACTTCTTGATGTTCTAAATAAGTTGTAAAAAATTGGCTGTTGCAGGTTAAGACAATGAGGGCTCTTCAGTATTTTCCAACCATTGAAGATCCAAATACTAGAAGATCATTGTTTGAGGTATCTCTTTTCTCATATGATAATGATGAAATGCGCTACTGACTGGAAGAACATTTTGAACTTATTTATTTTGCTGATAAAAAAACTTATTCTTTTTGAAGATTCTGATTAGCTACTTCATTGGTGACTGCAGGTTTTACAACGTATTCTAATGGGAACTGATGTTGTGAAAAATGTCAACAAGAACAATGCATCACATGCTGTTCTTTTTGAGGCCCTTGCACTGGTTAGTTTGGCGCTTGGATTCCTTCTGCGTTGTGTATGGAAGTTGCAGCCAGAATTGTAGTAAATTGATTTTTAAGGATCAAGGGGGAACACAAATCTAAAAGAAATGAAAGAATATTTAAATTGATGGCCACCATCCAGAAGGATTATTTCAGAAATGCAGGTTTTCAATCAAACATGTCTCTGGAGATGCTGAAAATTGGTGACTGGATTTCCAAGTCCAAATGACCTCTGTTGTAAAAAGTAAATGGGGCTTCCTTACAATATATTTGGTCTTTTAAGGAACATTCTTCTTTTGGAAGTGGAGTTGGCAAGAAAGTGAATATATATTTTTTGAGAATAATCAAAGTGGAACTTCATTAAAATAAAATAAAAGAATATAATGCCAGGTAGGGTGATGAGATAACGCCCCAATCCACCAAAAATTACAAAATAGAACAGATACAAAACTTTCAGATAAAACCCTCTGTATATAACATGAAGCCATTTCAAGAGTATCCTAAAGCTAAAACCCAAGGATGATCTGGGCATACTGGAAAATTTTGTTGAAGTCATAATTCAGCCCATGATCATGTTTCCAATATTAGCACATATTGTCTCAATACTCCTTTTTCCCTTGAACAGTCTTCTATTTATTTCTCTATTCCCAAACAAGTATATTAAAAAATATATATGTACTTATTATAGCCTATAAATACAGAGAATACATGTTGTTAAGTGAAAGCTTTGTTTTGTGGTTTCGGGGGTTTTAGCTACATTGATGAATGATGTGGCAGATCCAGATTGTACATCCTATGACAACCCTCTGAATGTTATAAGTGTATAGTGTCCTTGTCTACATCAGCTTATATCCCACATTTCCCCCACTCTTTTCCTTGAGTAGTAGCCCTTAAATTATCTCAAAATTTTGAATAGAAAAGTTGAGTCATTTTGCCATGTAGCAGAGAGGTTTGTTCTAGCTTTAACTAGTCACATTAAATGTCATGTCGGAACATGTGACCCCATTTTGTGATGCCATCTCGGCTCCTATGTGTCAAAATTGTGTAGAAGCAAGAATCACCGCAACAGATACACATACACAAACATCTATGGACACTATATTTTCATCTTCCTACTGGACTGGATTTGAAAAGGCTTTTGAGGTTGATGGTACACCGATTAGATAATTATCTTGTATCCCACCTGTTTTCTTGTAATACAATACACTAAAATGCCTGGGATTTAAATATTGATCTTTGTAGTTTCCCTTATTCTTATGGTTGTGTGTTCTGAATGTCCTATAATAGGTCATGCATCTTGATGCTGAAAAGGAGATGATGTCTCAATGTGTTGCATTGCTTGGGAAATTTATTGCTGTTCGTGAACCAAATATTCGATATCTTGGTCTTGTAAGTGTTCTTTTGACTGCCAGATAAGTGGAAACTGGGAACTGCATGGCAAGCATACATTGTTGAATTATGTATTTCAGATACAGTTCTTGTTGTTTAATGCCCTGTTGCTCTTGTGCAGGAGAACATGACTAGGATGTTGATGGTAACAGATGTGCAGGACATTATCAAGAGACATCAAGCTCAGATCATCACCTCATTGAAGGATCCTGATATCAGGTTAAGCTCAGTTGCCTTGTGTTCTAATTTGTCACTCATAAATTTCAAATAATTTTATCCCTCCCTTAATTGCATTCTGGCTTCTCTTCATGCTTATAGTGTACTTCATCTATGATATCCCATGAGATATTAGACGCTTGGGTGCTGTGATTTTCTGTTCCTATTGGGATGTGCTCTTGGCACTTGTTTTTGATAAAGCGGTTATGTCCCTAACTAAGTAGTGAAAAGCACTTTTATGTTGAAGAGTACTTAATTATTGTTTTTCACTGGGAATGCTCCATTAATTAAAAAAATATCACACACTCAAATCCACCCTTCTGTTTCTATGTTTCTGTTTATTTTATATTTCTGCAACAGAATTTCCCATTGAGGGAGCCTTGTGCACTGGGCTGCCCTTTTTAATTTCCCATTGAGGCCTTTAGAATGGGGGAGAGGGCGTGTACCAGGAATTCTTTAATCTTTTGCACCTTTTAAGTTATCAATTAAATATTTACTCTATGCATGCAGCAAATGAGAAACAAGCAAAGCAAAGGAATATTTGCTAAGATAAGCTTATGCAGGAAGGCATATGGTAAATGTGATGCCTGAATGTGATTTCACCTAATCACAAAATGTTCATCTTGTGATATGTACCAAGGGTTTAATTGAGGCACATCTAATTTTTGATAAAGGGGGACATATCCCTAATTGCTAGTCTAACTTAGATGTTGTAAAAGACAAGAGCCCCCATGTATTTAATTTTATCCTTACAAGATGCCTTGTGTCTTTTCACTGGGGATGTTCTCCGTTTATCAAAATGTGATGTGCCCAAATGAGCACCCTATGTTCCACAGATGTAACAGGGGTAGAAATGAAAAGAAACACATTAATCTGGGAAATAAGCAACTATTTCCCTGGTTGGCTTTACTAATTAAAATGTCATTAGGTATACTGGTCTATCAATGGTTTGTCAAATATCTATTGGTAGCTGCTCATGATGGTTAATATTGCAAATTGTGATTTGGCCCTTGTTCGTGAGCTGTATAATTACATCATCTTCTATGGACTGCATGGTTTATGTTTCCAACTATATAACAATTCATATGAAAATATCCTTAATGGAGTCACTACCACTTCTTTTTGCAGCATTCGGAGACGTGCTCTTGATTTGCTATATGGTATGTGTGATGTTACAAATGCAAAGGACATAGTTGAAGAGTTGTTACAGGTAACTAGGAAATAAAAAAAAAAGAAAAAGAAAAAGAACACTCTGAGTAGTGAAATGGACATGCTACTGATATCTTTACATTTTTTCAGTATCTGAGCACAGCAGATTTCGCAATGCGTGAGGAATTGGCATTGAAAGCTGCTATTCTTGCTGAGAAATTTGCCCCTGATCTATCATGGTGAGCATAAATTCTCTTGGCGAGTGATGATTTATTTTGTTCTGGGGAATCAGAAAGTAGACATGATTCTCAATCATGTATGCTGCTTGTATCTTTATGCACTCTTCTATTGCTTTGTGTCTAAATAATTGTTGGAATCAATAATCATGCCATCATTTCCCTTTAGATTCATTTATACATTGAGAAGACACAATAAATAAATACTCTTATATGCTCATATGCCATTCCTATGTCCATTCTTAAGGTCAAGCTCCAGAATTCCTTTGGGTTCATCTATGGATTTTTTATGCTCTTTTGTGTTCCCTTCTTCCATCTTTCTCTTCATACATTGGCCATGATTACTGGATAATTCATGAATCCTAAGATGCCAATGATGAGTCTTTTGATATCTTCTGATCTGATAATGTTACTTAGATCAATCTGAGCTTCAAAATGTTGTTCACTAGCTTAGGGTTGTTTACTGGAGTAATTGGAAAGAGATGAACAGAATTGGATCTTTGTTTGAGATACCTTGCTTGCATATTTCTGTTGATGCTAGTTACATGGACCTGGGTTTGGCCTTTAAGGATTTTTCTTAGTGAAACAGATGGAGCATTGCATGTGGTTGGCTTTTTGTTTTGAGTATTGAAGGTGGGTCTACTGTAAGGGGCTTTTTGTTGGGTTGATTGCTTGTTTTGTGTATGTATCTTTGCTTCATGGCATCTTGTTTTAGTTAGCTGTGATGCATTCACATATTGATCTTCCTGTTATTAATCATGTTCATAATTTCATAGGTATAGACCTGAATCTACCCTGAATTGCTGATGAATACTTCATCCTTCTTTTGTTGCATAGGTATGTGGATGTGATTCTTCAGCTGATTGACAAGGCAGGAGATTTTGTAAGTGATGACATATGGTATCGTGTTGTTCAGTTCGTTACAAACAATGAGGATCTTCAGGTGTTTCTGATCTCCTATCATATGCTGCATTTGATCTTTTTGAAATCTGTTTTGAAAAATATCATACATTAACACGCTTGCTGACCCTTATTGTGTTATTTCAGCCTTATGCAGCTGCAAAGGCAAGAGATTATCTTGACAAGCCTGCTGTACACGAGACAATGGTTAAGGTGTGATTTTGCCTATAATTTCCATCAAACTTTTCCTTTGTTGAAAAGTATGTGTGCTATAATTGTCTTGGCACTGGTGTTCATATTGGATAGTGTGGATTCTAGGACTTGTGATATAGAACCAAAATCAAGCTGACTGTACTGCAACTGACAGAGAGATCCCAAACCTAGACTGTCTTGGATAGGTCACTTGCATGGTGGACATGAAGTTGTCAGTTTGTTGCAGGCTGCAGAGAAACTACTTTTATCTGCAACATCCTTCCCCCTCTCAGAACTCACATATACATAAAAGTAAATCCGAGCTGCTATTGTAATTAATGTTGATTTATTCTGGTAGGAAGTACAAAAGGAGAAGGCTCAAATTTAATAGCTTAAGGTTTCAAACCTTCCGAATACTGATTTGGAGATGGAGCCTACGGATTTGGTTATGGATGAGTGGGAAGCTGCAATAGTTAAGGTTGATGGTCCCATCCAGAAATAGAAATAGAAAGGGATAGGGAAAAGAAAGAAGGGGCTTGTATAAGGAAGTGGGGTCCAAGCATTTGAGGGGTCTGTCAAAAGCACAAGAGGTAGGAGTACTGGTAAGTGATAACTGAGGCAAAAGACAGGGTTTCTAATGCCTCTTGGAGTTATTGGGTTTAATCAGGAGTGTTGGGGCTGATTAGCTGTAAGCTCTTATGTTTTCTGGTTCTTGGGTGCATGTTTTATTTTTGGGGTTTGTTCTAAAGTTGTATATCCATTTGTTCGTTTTTGCTGGGGCTGCAATGCCTCTTGCAGTATTCTAACAAATAAGAAAATAATAAAAGGAAACTACTGTTTTAACTCACAAACTGATTAACTGAATAATTTCGTTTAATAATGTTTGTTCTATTATTATGATCTCAAAAGTTAAGAATATAAAAGAATATAGTAGCGTCATGTACAAAATAGCTAAGTGATTAAGTGAGGCGTTGCGTTGACAACTATGTTATGTATAACCGAAAAATTTTATCAAGGGAAATAAGAATGAAAATGTCACCTTTAATGTTAAACTTGAAGTAATATTGGGTTTAAAGGACTGCAAATGGGTTGGCTGATATATTAGCAAACAGGGGGTCTATAGGCAGCAGTTGTTTTGGGCATTATTGTAACTCTTTTGATTTTCCACTGTAATTACTTGTTTCACATTTTAATACAATTAATAAGGTTTTCTTGCTGATAAAAAAATAAAAAAACAATGGGTTTTCTCTCCACCAAAGAAGCAAGGTAAGATTCTCTTAGGGTGCATGAGCCTGCTACTTTATGGAGCATCTGGGAAGAAAGAAATGCCCATCTGTTCAGCAATAAGGGGAGGTTTGTTGAGGAATTCATTGACGATATCTCTATCAAATTTGCTCATTGGGTGAAGGTATTGGATATATTCTAGCCTTTTACAACAGAAAATATCATTAGGAATTGGAAACAGGTGGCTGACTTGTCTTCCTCTAGATCAGTCCATAGCTAGATGGGYTCTTCTAGAACAGGCTATATTATAAAGCTAAATTTTGTATGGCTGTAACCTAGGAATTCCAAGTATGGTGGGCATTTTGGGACCTATAGCTATATGGATTGGAGACTCAATTAAGGCAGAAACTTGAACAATCATCCATGGTACAGGAAGGAGAAAATCCATGAACTTCCGACATCTGTTTATTGAAGGAGATTCAAGGGTTAATTGGATATGGCTAAGTGGAACCTACATGATCTCATTGAAATACAAATATGCTATTTTGAGAAATCAAAAAGATGATGGGGGAATTGAGAGTACCAATGAGTGGATAAAACAAGGGGACATGTGGGACAGTATATTTTTAGGGCCAAGTAATGTAAATGTTTCTGTCCTAGTAATTGTTTTTGTTTTCTTGGGTAGTGTTAGCCGAGGCTAACCACATTTTTTTGAGGTCTAAGACAACCTTTGTACTTTTGACAGTTACCCATAAAAAAAGCAAGGAGAAGCTCGGTTCAGAAATGGGAAATAAGGTTTTGGAGTGGATCTTGCTATTATCTGAATTTGTGGGTTTACTAAAGAAGTTTTTATGCGGGTTTTGGATAGTTATAGAACAAGACGGATGCTGAATTGTAATTTTGTCTTTTCTTTTGGACGATCTGTCATCAGTCATCACCATAGTATATTGTAATTTTTTTTTGAATCTTTAATGATTTTTTATCTATTATCAAAAAATACTTTTTTGAGCAGTAGTATCCCAGGAGTATGGGGTTTGGGCAGACAATGAAGGAAATTCAGTCTTTAGCTAAGGATGTAGGTGCTACCTTCAACATGGTTAGGGGATCAGAAAATGGATTGGCTGATTATATGGCTAAACATGGAGTGCACAAAGATCAATTGTTTTGGGCTGAATTGTAATTTCTGTTATTGAGCTTATGGGTGCCTGAATTGACCTATCCAGTAGATCTGTGGTCTTTTTTATCATTAATCAATGAAATCAGTAGTTGCTTATAAAAAAAAATTTTTTTTTTTTTGGATAAGGAGGAAAGAGGATTTCAATTTCTTAATTCCTGGCAATGTTTTCTCTTTTATTTGTATGTTCTATGTCCCTGAGTAGCAGCATCCGGGCATATTATTTATTATAGATCCATCCCAAAACTTTGTTTGTCCAATCAAAGCATGATATATAGATGTTAAAAAAAGTTAAGAGCAGTAACAACATATACTCATCTGAAACAAAGGAGTGCTTGGGCAATTTTCTGTATGTAATTTATTATTTCTTTCAAAATTAATAAAATTCAACTGTTGCTGATCAAATTGCAAAGTGTGTGGCAGGTCAGTGCATACATCCTTGGGGAGTACAGCCATCTTTTGGCAAGACGGCCTGGTTGTAGCCCTAAAGAAATCTTTAGCATCATACATGAGAAGCTACCTACTGTATCGTAAGATTTCTTCACCTTTGAATCGCTGGCAGTAGCTTACTGATATCAGTTGTTTGTTTATTACTTTGTTTATTTATTTTTACTTTGATGGAAATATTATTCTTTTAATTCCAATACCTAAAATGGCATGCTTTCCAGGACTTCTACTGTTGCCATTCTTCTTTCGACATATGCTAAGATTTTGATGCACACTCAACCACCTGACCCAGAATTACAGGACCAAATCTGGGCAATATTCAACAAGTGAGATTTACACATTAATATGTTTATGCATGCATATATTATCTTTTTCCTTGACTTTTTAGGGTGGTATTTCTATTACATTGTTAGTAACTACTTGTGGAGTTCTTAATTTATTTTTGCATTCTTTCAGATACGAGAGTTGCATTGATGCTGAGATACAACAGCGAGCTGTTGAATATTTTTCATTAAGTAGGAAGGGTGCAGCTTTAATGGATATATTGGCTGAAATGCCCAAGTTCCCTGAGCGTCAGGTATGTATGTGTGGATTCATTAAAATCTCATTTGAAAATAATTCACTTCATCATAGGAATGTTGGATCACCTCATCAAATAAAGCTTTTCCTCTTGTTTAATCTTCAAAGAGGTTCACTCCTTCAAGGAGAAAAACAGAGGAAGAAGAAGACTCTAGTTTTATCATGTGAAAGTATTCAAAAGCTTGGGTTTCTTTTCTGAAGAAAAATTTTCTAGGTCCTTGATTGTAACCATTACTAACTTCTATCAAAATTAGTCTTCCTTGCTTAAAAAAGCTGAAGATACCGAACTTGATACTGCGGAGCAAAGTGCAATCAAGTTGCGTGCCCAGCAGCAGCAGCAGGCTTCGAATGCTTTGGTTGTTACTGACCAACGTCCTGCCAATGGATCTTTACCTGTTGGTCAACTTAGTCTTGTCAAGATGCCTAGTATGAGCATTAATGTGGTATTAAGCCCGTTTCCCCTTCTTTGTATTGCATATATTGTAGTTCGTTAGTTTACACTCACTTAGTTTATGATATGGAAATTGATTAAACATGTAGGATGCTGATGTAGCGGGCCAAGGGTTGACCAACACAAATGGAACCTTAAGCATTGCAGATCCCCAACCTGCCACACCTTCAGCAGATCTCCTTGGCGATCTTTTGGGTCCACTGGCCATTGAAGGTCCTCCCAGTGCTGTAGCCCCTTCTGAACAAAATCTTATGTCAGGATCAGGATTAGAGGGTGTTTCAAATGCAATGGATGCCTTAGCTCTTGCTCCTGTTGAAGAGCAGTCAAATTCAGTTCAGGTGCTTCTTTTTGTAATCATATTTCATGTCTATTTTTTTACTCGTATTCATGTCTATAGTGTAATTCTGTTTTTCTTCTCTTTTTTTCAGACTGCAACATAGGTAGCTATAACTATTAGGTTATATTTATCATTTTATTGATGAACTAAAACCAGGGATTGGAATATTTTGCACACATTCTCAATTTTCACTGCCTTTTGTGAGTGAATTGGGTGAATTTCATATACTTACCACAAAAATTATAGGTATCTTTGAAACTTTTCAGGGGCTGCCTAGCTGCAAATCATGGATGGAAATAATGTACTTTTTTCTTTTTTGGTAATTTACAGAAATATTACGCTTGAATCTGATGTTGATAATATGTGTATAAAAAAGAGGACAGAATAATTTTTGAAGACGGTGGATTATGGATGTTTCCGAGGATTTGTGCACATGTAGGTTCTTTCCTAGGGAATGGTGCATGCTGTTCAATGAACAGGATGTTAATTCTATAACTTTTGTGAAGAGTATGTAAAGGATGTTATCTTCTTATACTTGCAAATTTAGCTTTTTCACATCTAATATTCCATTTTGACAATAACAACTGGGAATGAGAGTAATACCACAGAATAACATAGGTCTGATTATAAGTTGCATGTCTCTCTGACATATAAATACTGATAGCCCAACATATTAGTATTGCTAGTATTTCTGGTTTTCCTTATTTAAAAGGCTAGGCTTGGCTGTCATGCTTTGGGAGAAAATGAGATGCACTTTCCTTTTTATAAAATTATGTGTTCGAGGAACTAATTCTGTTAACATGTTTGCAGCCCATAGGAAATATTGCTGAAAGGTTTCATGCTTTATGCCTGAAGGATAGTGGTGTACTATATGAAGACCCTTATATTCAGGTTTTACTTCTTCAAGGGCCTTTACATCCGTGGCAAAAATTTTCAAGCTTCTTAAGTTGATTTTATTTTACTCTCTTTCTGGGCTTTCTTACACATTCAGTGATGTGTTTGCAATTCACTTGCTTAGATTGGAATAAAAGCTGAGTGGCGGGCCCACCATGGACGTCTCGTGCTTTTCTTGGGGAATAAAAATACATCCCCTCTTGTTTCAGCTCAAGCTCTAATATTGCCACCTTCCCATTTGAAGATGGAGCTCTCATTAGTACCTGAAACTATTCCTCCAAGGGCACAGGTTGAGACTTCTATGCATTTTGTGCAAATGTTTATTCTTTGGTTTTATGATAATCTCTAGACTACTTTATTTCTGGTTGTTTATAGGTGCAATGCCCACTAGAAGTTGTGAATCTTCGCCCCAGTAGAGATGTAGCTGTTCTCGATTTCTCTTATAAGTTTGGAACTACAATGGTGTGATTCTAGATCTGCATCCCTTTTTTATCAACTTCATGATCTTTAATGGGATGTTTTCTCTATGATTCCTTGTATCATTGTTTTTTTTCTCTCTCATTTCTATAGGTCAATGTCAAGCTTCGCCTTCCTGCTGTCTTGAATAAATTTCTTCAGCCTATATCTGTGACTGCAGAAGAGTTCTTTTCCCAATGGAGATCACTTTCTGGACCCCCTTTGAAGCTTCAAGAAGTGGTAACATATCACTCGTTATATTCTTGCTGTCAGACATGTTTTTATTTAATTTTTGATAGATAACAAACTAGTTTTTATACTGAAGAGAATATCTATTTTTATTTTGATTGCCTTTTATTGTTCATGACATGAACAGGTTAGAGGAGTAAGACCATTATTTCTTCCCGAAATGGCCAACTTGTTCAAGAGCTTTCAGTTGATGGTTGCGCCAGGACTTGTAAGTTACTATTATTGCTGTGCCTTCATCTTCTCCCTATCAATCGTCCCTTTTGGGTGTTTTTATATCTCTCTTTTTTTTCAGGATCCAAATCCAAACAATCTGGTTGCAAGCACAATGTTCTACTCCGAGAGCACTCGTGCCATGCTTTGCTTGGTAAGGGATAATAAGTTTGTCATCGAGATGATCTCCCTGCTATCTCATAATATACTTATGACAGAAACATCATGCCAGTTGGCTCCGAAAACCTTGCACCACTCATAAATCTCACTTTTAAGTTTACCTGATCCGACTTCTCATCTAACCAGACTGTTCAGTTAGTTCTGGTGAACAACGAGGCTGATGATTAACAAACTCTCATTGCTTGGCCAGGTTAATCTGTCAAATTAATAACCTAAAAGACTGTGTCTCCGTTGTAGATTGATATAAACTTCAGTGGTGTTTGGAACCATGGTGCCCACTCTCATTTTGAATCCACATAAGTGCCGCATAGAAAATTTGACTTTTAACATATGAAAAACATATTTGGTGGGCAGATTTAACTTCAGATTGCTGCACCACTTCTTAGATTGGTTATGTTGATGGGAGTGTTGGGGGAACCACCATAGAGATGCTTCATTATTTGGGAGGCATATTCCCTCTTTGATTGTCTTATGCGTATTTGAAACCATAATAAACTACTCTGCAATGTTTGTGGAAAAACATCTCACTTTCTTGATTCCCTAAGTAATTATTTAAATTCAAATGTTAAGATGTAAAACACCACAGTACCAAAAAACCCACTTTGTTTGTCTTTGTGCATCTCAGATTAGGATTGAAACAGATCCATCGGACAGAACCCAACTTCGAATGACAGTTGCCTCAGGAGATCCAGTACTAACTTTTGAGTAAGTCTTTGACTTTTTTCAAGTTTATTCGTTTTAAGCTGTTATATGCCTGCCTAGCTTAAGGAGCTTCTATGACCATATCTGGACAGGTTGAAGGAGTTCATCAAGGAACTATTAGTTAGCATTCCCAAACCATCCATTGCACCTGCCCCAGCGCCGCCCCAGGTGCAGCCAGTCAGTCCAGCTGCGGGTTCTCTGGATCCTGGTGCCATGCTTGCTGGTTTGCTTTGAAAATTGGAACATATGGGATTGTGCAGATTCGCAAATTTGCTTACTTCGGTTGTACCTGATTTACAAAACCTACCCATCGGTGCCTCGAATTTTGAGGTAGGGTTAGGGGCATGGTACAATGCAAGGGCTGGCGGGAATCAGAGCTCATTGTGATTAGCTTAGTATCTGAGTGTATTTTTTTTTCCGAGTTCGGTCGGGAATTCTAGATTCTTTCAGGGCATTTTCTTGGTGCCTATTGGTGAGATGATGATATGTTGGGTGATATTTTTTTTTCCTCTTTTTCTTTTGTATGTTTCGCTGGTTTCTGTAATCTGATAATAGAAATGTATAAGCCAATGCATGAAGTCATTGTAAAAGTTTTCATTTGTGATCTATGCATATTTATATATTGAATAAGAACAGGAAAAAGTAAGAAAATGTTTTGATATTGGAGCTTCTCATATTGGAAGTTGGAACATGCACGAAAGTTTTGATAATCCATATGTTTATTTAATAATTCAATCAATAATAATAAAAGCGACAATGGAAAAGCATAGATAAGAGGAAATGTTGCCATGAGCGGTGAGCCCTTGATTGTACTCTTGGTTGCTAATTTCATTGTAGTCATGGAAGCATGGCAGTCCAAATACTCGGAGTGGTTTTGTTTTCGTTAGGGGGTTTTTACCCAAGTACATGATTTTATTTTAAAAGGAGCAACTGTCGTATCAACAAAGCATGTGTTTGGTTTTGTTGGTGTTTTGAAAAATTTCACCATGTCATTGCCAAATCAGTATTCCTATCATGTTCATTTGTTTGTATTGATATTCACAAAAACTGGTCTTAATTTACATGTGCATCTTCATTTTAACGTTTCCCTCAATGGTTGAGTGTTTATTCATTATTTTGCTGATGTGGTGTCTAGTTGTAATGAACAGTTTATCAAGCAATCAAGTACAAACGTTTATTTTATAAACAGAAGCTATACCAAACACATACAAAATCAGTATGGCAGTTTTGGTTTTGTGATTCATGTTTTGTTTGCCAAACTTTGAAAACTGAGAAACTTTATATGACAATCAAGAAGTACAGGTTACTTGTCAGTTATCACTGTGAGGCCCACTTTAAATCTTGCGTGCTGATGTAATGCCTGGACTAACTTCAAATTACAAAACGAAGGTACTTTACCTTGCAGATTGCCACCTTGTACTTTTGGGGTAATGACAGACCCCTGAAAACCCAACTATTTGGGGTTGGGATGAGGTAGCATACACCAAATGAATAAGAAAATATGTCCTATCAAATCCCTGAAATGACCCAGTTGTCTGAATCTTATAGGTAATCAAGATGCAACTATTGGCAAGATTTTACCCCTTTGGGTCTTTCAATCATGGAAGCTGGTTCGTAACTGAACCAGAGGGGTTCACCTGGTGAACAAGGGGGATGACTATGCCGGGTGAAGGGTGAGTGTAATTTAAAGGCATTACTCGTGCCGAAATGCTGTCAATTTTCTAGGACTCTGATGCGTGGGGTTTCCCGACTTGGCATTGCATTCGCTTTGGTGCACGCGTTCATCTAATTTCAGGGCAAAATGTCTTTTCAAGAACATAGGAATTTATTAGATTCCAAATATTTGTAAGAACCCTACTTGATAGAGAAAGAAATGCTTGTTTTGCAGCCATGCGATGTGCTCCCAAGACTTCAGCATCATCAAATAGTTCACTGAGGGCTTCAATGAGCTCTCCTTCTCCAGAAACCTGCAAGAGATATGGCATTAAAAGCTCCAGAAACAGGATTGAACTAGTCCTAGTTAAGGTAAATCTTAAATATGTGAAATAAAAGTTCAGAAGAAGGTTATAGTTAATAGGGAGAGTGGGATACAAGGACTTATTTGAGTGAATGTTTAGTAACCAAATACCCTATTAAGTTATTGCACTGAACCTGCTTTCTATGTTCTAAGCCAATGTTGATCTGAATCAGCTGATAAATTTCTATTAATTATCCCACAATATCAAATTCAACCAACTGAACTTCTAAAACTTTCCAAACATTACCACAACATCTGGTACTAGAGTTCCATGTCAAAGGCTCCTAAGAAAACATACTGCTGTATAAATATCACTAAAAGTCAACTTGAAATACATTTTTTTTTCTTGTAGGCCTTAATACTGTGTGGGACCAACCTGTACTGACAGTTGGACAAGTCACTTGAAATGATGTTCTAGAGTGGTGCACAATGCATTTCTAAGGCATATAATAAATTGAATCTGTATGCTTAATATTGCTTTAATATTCACTTTAACATTTTTGCAGAGGTGAGCTATGGTCCTCTACCAACAAGGGGAATAATAGACCAAATCTTGAACCAAGAGCTCAAGCAAGAAATCTTGAGAAACCTCCACTTCTTTCAGACCCAAAATAAAATAATAATAATAATAATAATAATAATAAAGGAAGACCCTATAATTGTCTAGCAATTTAACTAAGACCAATTATAATTTAAAGCCTCAGGCTCCAGGACATGGTATATATCCTACCAAAAAAAAGAGATGAAACCAAAGTGTCCAATACCAGGCTCACCATAGTTTAGAGATTAAGCATAAATTACAGGTACTAGAGGGTTTGATAGGAAAATCCATAATTACTGTTTTGTACAAGAACAAGAACCATGTGACCTTGAGAAGGTCAAGAAGGCTCAAGCACATGGCATTATAGTGTGGTGCAAACATTATGCCAGAGTGGATGAAAAAAACACCAAGAAACAGCAACAAAATAAAGCTCACCGAAAGGAATATAAAAAGAGTTTCACCTCACCTTCAAAACTGATAAAGGATTAGATTGTTGCATTTTCACTACCATGTGAGAGAAATGTCCAACATAATGACCTGAAAATTAGCCCCATGCAGCAAATGACAATCATAAATTACAAATTTAAAGAAGAAAAAGGTAGACCACATGAAGTGAGCAAGCAGATATAGCAAATAATTACCAGTCAAAACAGCACAACCAGCTGCAGCAGCCTCTGAAATATTATGTCCAGCTAAACCAGGCAGGAAAGAACCTCCTATAACAGCTATTGGAGTCAACTTATACAAACTCCTTAGTTCACCTATAAGAGGGTTGAGAGATAGTCAATGATGACAGATATATTTCCACAAAAGCAGGAATAGTGTGCATGCTAATTCCATCTTCAAAGGTGGGTCTATTTCATTTCCTTCATTAACTCTAATATATGAGGAGATAAGTTCCGTAAACAAGTCCATGCTTTCTATAATCTTTCTCTTGCCATGCTCGAATAAATAAAGCTACGTCATCCGGAAATACCCACTTTCTTTCACCATCATTGAAGTACCACCATTTATGATTGAAAAGAGTATCAGAAATCCATCATAAAGAGAGAGCTTTGAGTGATCCTTACCCATGATAATAGGTGATTCACCAGCAAGGACTTATCCAAACTATAGCCCAAATAAAGAATAAGATCATTAAGGGTATATATAAGGTCAGATCCATTCCCACAAGGTTGGGGCATTATCCCCATCAATAGGACTAAAACAAAAAATTGACTGAAAAGAAATACCTCTAAGATCCGGCTCCTGTACAATTGTCAACTGGTATTTTTGATTTACAACTTTGTAAACAAGTCTACCATAATATATTCCTCATAATATTTTTTATTGTTAAGTTTTAAAATAAATGTTTTAAAAAACCTATTATCTAACATTAAAATAAATAAAAATAACACATAAAGCGTATTCAAATTAAATTTAAAAATAAAATCAAACATATAAAACATTTTCAAGCATGTAAAACCCACAATCTTTTTTTTTCTTCAATTGCATTACTTCAAATAGCTAATGTGATGTAAAACATCTTGCATTCCTGATTCTACGAGCCGCCTTTGTACCAAGCCCCTTGAGGCAAACCCAAAGAAATCCATGTTAGGGTCTTAAATTCTTAATCCTTACGCAAAAAAAAATGATTTATAATTTTAATTGCCTTTTAAGAAGATATTTTATTAGGATTAAGGAATGAACAACATTGGCAAATAGGGGGTTCTCACCTAGGCACACCAAGTGCTCCCTTTTGAAAGTGTTGCACCTAGGGCCTAAACGAAATGCATACCTTAAAATGCACCTCGCCTGAGCGCCTAGGCATGCCTTTTAAATCACTGGCTACTATATATGTCATTGATGTATGTTGCATGAATTTGGATGCATAGGAAAGAAGTGTCACTAATAATCCTCAAATCTAAAGATGCCAGTAGTTCAAAGCCAGAAACTACAATGTGCACTTCAAGAAAATATGGACCTAATGTATCAACCACATAGATATTTGTCCTTTGACATATCCTTTCATCACGAGACCTCAAGGAAACATTTAATCCTTCTTTCTGCACTTCCTGCACAAATAGGAAAATATTAAATTTCAAAAGCTAATAAGATATAAAGCTACCCATGAAATGTGGTCAGCAAGGAACCAGACATGCCATGCAGTTTATGTATGACGAATGATTCTAATAGTATTAGGCAAGCGTACTGATTTTGCACAAGTATTAATGAAGTTGGATGCAAGATGTGATGCCATGTCTCCATGGGTAGATCATACACCAACTAACAAAATCTATAATATTAAATATAAGGTAAATAGGAAAAAGGTTTTCTAATTGGGTCATGTAGGGACTAGGGAGATTCTCTTCGCAATTTACCCCAATTCTTCCACTGACCACATGTTTAATCCTCCATTCCGCATCAACCTATACCCCAACTTGAATTGGTGTTTTCCCTCCATTTACAAGAAAATTTCAACCCAAAATCCCTCACTATAGCCTACATGTCCAAAATAGGCATTTTTGAGTGGTCAAATTTTGTAATAAATAATAAAACTTTGAATGGTTAATATTAGTTGGGAAAAACACCAATACAAGGTAGGATATAGGGTGGACATGAACAGAAAAAATGAACATGTGACAATCCATACTCCAAAGGACCCTGTACCTTGTGGATGGTTTTGATTAGCCACATCATCCCTCTATGTGGCAGAAAGAGGATAAGTCATGTAGGGAACTTCCCTTCTTGACCAGATTAAGAGTCCTTTTTCCATATACTTTCCCCCACTGAAAGAAGCTTGACAAATTCACATGGCACGTGTCCATGCCCTTAGCAGGTAGGTTGGCATTGACATGATAGGAGAAATCAGATAATCATTTTATACACATCAAAATGATAGAAATACAAGAGACAAATTAAATACTGGAAGCAGAAAAATATAATCATACTGGAAGATCACAATGAAAAGGATAAGAACCATACAATGGCAATTTGTTGTCCTTGTTGTGGATGTCTAGGTACAATAATTGTTAACATGTTAGGGTACATCTGCATTAGTACTTTATGAACCCCTAGCATGACTGCAATTGAAATATATTGGAACCTCATTAACAGAAGAAAGCAGTTGCCATAGAAAAAGAGAGAAAAAGAAAAAAAAAATGATGTATCATATGACAGTGCAACAGATTTTAACCATCTAACTAATAGTAAACGAATGCCAAAATCCAACAAAAGCCTCAAGACACGGTGATAACAAAGCTTTCTACCGAAAGTTTAGATTGAAGGCTCTCATATTGTACTTGTTGAATAAGCTGGTCTTACTTTAGTTTAGTGCTGCAAGGGCACATATGTAATTTTACATTGTTTTATTATTTGAATGGTCACCCTAATATAAATATAAAAAAGGCTGGCGCCGCCAGCTGATGTTTTTCTCTCCAAAACCTTTTTTCTCTTTTCACTCTTCTCTCTTCTCCCTCCTCTTCTCTCACTATTCTGAGATCCTGCTGCGTGTTTACCAAGAAAACAGTACTAATAACCACTGTGAACACCCCTGTACAATGAGATTCTGTGCATCATAACAAAGGGTATTACGAAGGCCCAAAAAAAAGTCTATAGACAAAAAAAAGAATGACAAAACTCTGCTGTAAATATTGCTAGTGGAGAGACAGTCCCCAGTCATGCCAAAAATTGAACTAATTACAGATTCCACTGAGTTCTTGTTGTCAAAAAGCCGAGAATTTCTTTCCTTCCATATTATGGCCAAAGGGATTACTGCCCAAGCTGATCTGCCTTTCTTACTCATGTTCTGGACATGTCATCCTCTTAAAAGATCTGCCACAGAATTAGGATGACACCCTTTCCAATGAACTGCATTCTGAAAGTGAGCCCACAATCTGCTCATGAATTTGCAGTGAATGAACAAATGGCTAGAGGATTCCATGTGCTCGTCACACAGGCTACATGCAAAGTTGTCCAGACCCATGCCTTTCCTCCTCAAATAATCTTTAGTCTGATAGTTATCCAGCACCACCAACAAGCAGAGAACTTAATTTTAGAAGGAACCACATTATCCCAAACCTCTTTAAAATGAAAAGCCCTCAGCTCTGCTTCAGCATGATTTTTTTTTTTTTATTGATAACAGAACTTCACTAAAATAGAGGAAAGTTATACAACAGAGGAGAGGTAATCTTTCTTACCTCTCCTCACCAGAATTATAAGCATAGTACAGATTACAATTGTGCCCAAAACATTTAATTTCTTCCCACCCCTTGCTTTGCTAGTACATCAGCAAAAGCATTAGCAGTCCTTTTAACCCAGCTTAATTCCACTTCCATATTTTGTGTCATCCACTTGAATTTATTCCTCTTGCTATTGAATATCCAGAAGCCATTTCCTGCCTTTTTCAACCAATACATTACTAGTTTTGAGTCATCTTCTATAATCAGCTTCTCACATTCATATCTTTTGCCTTTTGCACACCTTCTATAACAGCCAGAATCTCAGCTCTTAGTGAGCCTCCCACACCAATTGGACCTGATAATAACCCGATAACCTTTCCATCCTTATTCCTAAATGCCCCACCAATACCAGGATCTGGGTTACTTACACTACTCCCATCGAAATTTAACTTGATAAAAGCATTATCTGGTAGTCTAAAGAGGTTGTACATCAGTCTTATGACAATCTGAACTAGCCACTTCCTTCAGTTATTCAAATATCACCTGAAGAGAAGTCAGCAAACAGCTCCAAAGCCTTCACCCAGTGAACCACTCTAATCAGAATGGTTTCAATAATTCCCTCTTTGCTTCTTTCCTTGTTTGAGAAAATTCTGGAATTTCTTTTTTCCCAGATGGTCCAGCTCACCACAGCTCTTATACATCTCCAAAACACTCTTCCCCTATTCTTAGGCCACCTAAAGAAAGAAGAGGTAAACAGGCTTTGAACATTAGGTGGGGGAGTCCACCTACACCCAAACAAAGACAAAAAACACTCTTAAACAGATTTAACATAGGGGCAGGAGACTAATAAGTGGAAACAAATTTCTCCATTAGCCGCACATAAAACACACCAGTGTTCAAATAAACCTCCTCATTAAGGAAATTCTCCTCATTCATACAATACTAAACCAAGAAATAATTAAGAGAAAGCTTAATATTCATTATTCCTTAAATGCAGATGATGCAGAAAAGCAACTGGCATCAGAAGTTTAAGGTGGTTCAATGCAAGGTATTAAGAAAAAGATGCAACTTATAAACAAACCAAATAGGAATAACAATACTCGAAAGCAGAGGCAATGCCATATCTATAAAGAACAACTTAACATTAACAAGCTGTAAAGTACCAAGTGGCAACCTTCTTCTTCACCCTTATGTATAGAGGCAGCCATCCAAACTGGCCTATTAACAAGCTGTAGTTGTAAATCTTCCACACTTCTAATCTCTTTCTTGGAGAAACATACATCTCCAACAGCTGCATAGAAGAGAATATTAACATAATATTTGAAGATCTCCATTAAAAATAAATCACTATAAAGCCATTTATCTTCTTTGAAAACTGTTCAAATATTGTATATTAAGAAGATAAACACAAAGAAGATACAGCTCTAGATAGCAGACAACATGTGTGTTTGAAGACACTACTTGTTTCTTGACCCTTCTTCCATGATTAGAACTGGAAGGCAACTCCTGTACCACATGCATTTTTTTATCAGTAAAAAAGAGATTTCATTAATATCAAGTTCAAGTATTACAAATTAGGTGGGGTTTTTTGCACCCTAGAGGCAACTTTTTCGTTTATAATTTTTCCCAAAACATTTGGTGCCTAGATGTCACTTGTTTAGCCAAGACATCCACCATCCCATTTGCTGATCTTCCCACCCATTTAAAGACAACATTCAGCTCCCTTGTTATGATCTCTATTTCCCAAAAAGCATGTCTATAGATCCATGGGATTTGGGAACTACTCCTGTACCCCATGCTTGAAAATTCAAATATTCTTGTCATGCACTGCCAAAGCCCAAACCCAGATAAAGGAAGGCTTGTGTCAGGCTGGCAGCCGGGGGAAATAATTTGCCAAACACTAACTTGTGAACATAAGTCCTGAATTGTTGTATCAAGTTCATGCTAGGGCATTCCTTGCAAGTGATGCACCACATTGACAGCAGGATGTGGTAAGAAATCAATTGAAAAAGTGGAGTGGAGAAGCAGGATTGTGCAACCAAACTTGTATAGTTTGGGATAAGAATGCAAAAAGGACAAATTTGTTCTCATCTCCACATTAAGCACCAATATTTCCTTTGTCCCTTCTTTTCATGATAAGCAGGGGAGTTTTTTGAAGCTAGAAAATGATAAGCAGGGAAATTACCATCTGCTTTTTTTGGATCAGTAAAACTACCATCTGCTTGAGGGTGGACCTTGGCGCAATTAGAGGTGTAAATCGGGCTGTGCCGCCCACGGCCCGGCACGATTTTATGGGCCATTGGCTGTGCCGGGCTTGGGGTTTCAGGTCAGCAAGCCTGGCCGGCACGGCCTACACTGTCGTGTCGTGTCACCCATGGCCCATGGGCTGGCACGGCCCATATTATATATATATATATATATATATATATATATATTATATAATATTGTATAGTATATAATATATTAATAAAATAAACAATTTTTTCCAATTTTATTATACTAATTTATTAAATTATTGTATATATAAGCAATTGTATACATCAAAATTCATATAAAATTAATTTTTTAAGTTTTTTTTAAATAAATAACTTTGATCTGGTCCACAGCCCGGCCTGGCCCAAGGCTCAGCCCACAGACCAGACCAGCCAGTGGCCCGGCACGAGCCCGCACGGACTCGGGCCGTGGGCCGTGCCGGGCCGACCCCCCAAAATATCCCAAGGGAGGGAGGCACAGGCTGGCACAGCCCATTTTACACCTCTAGGCGCAATGGTTGGGTTACTCCATCGTGACCTAGAGGACCAAGGTTCAAATCTTGGAAACAGCCTCTCTGTATGTTAAGGGGTAAGGCTGCGTACATCTGTCCCTCCCTAGACCCACATTTACGGGAGCCTTTGTGCACAAGGCTGTAGAGTATAACTACCATCTGCTTCTTGTTACAAAGTTGTTGATTTGAGCTACCTCTAACTCAAGAAATGAAGTGCAACTGTCTTGTTCTAAAGTTTCATTTTGAAAAGCCAAAATGCCCTCACCATGAGTGAATTAATGAAAGTCTAAGGGCACTTTGTTCCATGAAGCAAAACCTTCAATACAAGATGAAGCTGGTTGCAAGCCATTTCTGAACTTTAAAGCAACATGTAAGCACCTTCATGATAACATTCACTAATAATTATTCATCCAAATAAACCACTGTACCATATTTCAAATCACCAGCAAAGTCGATACAAAATGGTGGGGCCTGCAGCAGCTGAAAATGGATAGCCTCTAATGTGCTCTGCAACATAGAAAAAGATCAGCAAAAGCCGATGCATGATATACAACTATGGCAGGAGAGTGAAGGTCCATACTAATGGGGCAATCAATGAAAATTTTGAAAGCATCAATGAAATCAAGGGCAGTGCCACTGGTCCTGACCAGCACTTGAAGGATTTAGAAGACATCCGTGCATTTAACAATGCCAATGTGATCTGAAGAGAATTTGAAAGAATGAAAGTCACATGGAGCCAGAAATAAGAAATACTAAAGAGCACACAGTAAGGGCAATAAAAGATATATACATATATACAAAGAACAACAGTCAGAAAGTAGAAGCCAAATGGCTGCATGATAGGTAATATACTAATGCTAAGAAGTTCAATACAGGCAACAAAAAATTATAAAATGACTTGAAGCATTCAACTACCATTAACTTAGAGGAAATATCTTCTAACTGGAAACACACCACATATAGCAAACTGAAATGCATGATCCCTATAAAAGTAAGTAGGTCGTTGTGAAAAAAATCACTTATCCTTTTGGAAGCAGACTATATATAGTTACCTTGTTCTCAAATACATGCTTCCTATAAAGAAGTAAAGTGATCATTGTGAAAGAATTAGCTACTCCTTTTGGAAGCAGACTATTTTGACCTTATTCTCAACTGCATGCTCCATATAATGGAAACTGGTCACTGTGAAAAGAATCACTTACTCCTTTTCTTGAAGCTCCCAATATAAGATTTGGCCAGAGTTCACTTTCAATGAGAAATATTGCATTTGGGTTCCAATAACCAAGGAAAGCATCCATAGCAGCAGGAGTATCAATAGGGGCAAACTGCAGAACCCAAACACACTATATTAGGAAAACTGGCAAAATAACATTACTAAGTCACTATAACATGAAAGGTCAAGTCTTATCAAGGATAAGAAGCTAACCCCTTCGGTCCAAATAATTCTTTTTTCTAGGACTCAATATTTTAGCAGAGCAGGGGATGATAATCCAAACAAGAAGGTTTATTCATCAACCAAAAGCCAACAAGATTGGATTAAGTTAATATGAAGTTATAATACTGTATGATCAGTAAATCTAAGCAAACATTACACTGGTGGAAAGTGATGGTGTTATGTGACTTCAATCAACAGGTGATCCCCATGGTACTGAAAAGAAATTCTGAATTGTACAAGGAACTGTAAGGTGGGATATTAAGAGCCCAAAAGATTACATGAATGTCACTACAATAAGGAATGACATAAAATACAATTAAAAGTACTGACTCTAATTGTCTTTCTTTATTGTGTAAATTTAAAAAACAAGAAAAAAGTACATCTATATCTTTTATTTATCAAAGAAAACGTTAAAAAAAAAGGTTATCCTAGTTTTTCAATGCTCGACCATGATTTGAAAGTTCAAACACAGGCAGTTCTGTCGTGAAAGCCCTTCACACAATGGCCATTACCACCAATTCATTAAAAAGGTACCTGATATATGACACCAACCGGAAGCTCGTCCTTTATTACTTTACTGCAAACACGAAGAATGCACCACTACTATCAAATAAAGAGTATCCAATTCATATGAGAATAAATGAATCTACTCGACATGGGTATCATCAACCATGAAAATAAAAGACAGCAAGCAAGCAAGAAGGAAATATTATCAAATAAAGAGTATCCAATTCATACAATGGAACTTAAACTTATTCCATCTGTAAATTAGGACTAAGAGACGAGTTTCCTCGTTTTGCAATGCCATTCAGATCTTCATTTGTTCCTACGTGACGGGAAAAAAAAGGAGCCTGATTTCATCTTACAATGCTGAGGTTGTGGTGGTCGTCATCAAAATGGTGAGATCGGGTCGTTGCTGAATACAATGCTTGATAACTGGGATAGCAGCCATTCCTTCACCTGATTATGAGATGGGTACCAGAATACAAGCCATAATTAACCGAAACAACTTACTTCTTAACCACCCACAACAGGAGCTCTTCCAGGAAGACAAATCAAAAAGAACAAGAAGAACCGATAGAACAAACCTAACGAAACGGCGTGGAACCAGAGGAGAGGGCCTGGAGGGCGAGGGAGCGAAGGACGACCGAAGCGCTCCCGCCATCTCAGAGGGTGTTCAAGCCCTCGAAGTCTTCGCCATTGAAGGTGAAGATATAGCAAAGGAGAGAGGCCGTAGCTCACTGCTCTGTACACCATGTATACCAACTTCCCCTTGTCTCCCGCCATTTCTTCCCCTCACCTCCTGGCGGCCGTATCTCGCCTGATCATATACTAGCCGAGTAGGATGGGCCGAGTTAGGATGAGTGGACGAGTTCCCGAAATTGGAACACGGACAACACTTGATTACTGATTAGTGATTCCGATTTCCAAATACTTGGGTTAAGGGCCTTAAGGCTGAGTAAGTTTTTCCAACGTTATTAACCCGTCATTTATCTGGCCGGTCGGGCCAATTGGCCCATCGGCGAAGATTTTGATTCCATTCTATGGATTAGGTCTACCCACAGTATGGTTTTTTCCCAATTAATAATTGGATTGGGACCGGGTTTTGTTGTTAACTCGAACCAATTATATAATTAATAATATATAAAGGCCACCTGGTTTTTTTATAATTTTTATCCAAAAAGATAAATTTGATATAAAATATATAAGATAATTTTGGTTAAATCACTTTTTATCATCATATAAACATATTATTATTTTATAACCATTTTTATTAAGGTTATCCAAAATGTTCGGGTGATGGTTGAGCCGGCCAAGGATGTCACGTGGCTATCTTTGTAGTTGTTCCCCTATTAGGCCACGTCAACACCATGCGTAACGGAAGAGCATGACTAAGAAGGAGTGTTCCACACGAACAAGGAAGTCCGAGGAAAAGGAAACCTCCCAAATACCTCAGCGGGATGCCTTCATCTTGACAACCCCCGGGAGCCCTATCCATCTAGGACACAGACACCCAACTATAAATAAGTATCCCCCACTCGAGGTAAGGGACTTTTGAAACTACACTCTTTGAATACATCTTTGCACTATCTCTTCGGTCCAAACCAACGCTATTTCAACCTGTTCGGCCCAGTCACATCCTTCTTGATCCTACTAACTTGAGCGTCGGAATACCTACTTGGGGAGCAACTCCTCAGGCCTCTATCCTTTCTCTTGGTTGTAGATCTCGGTACGTAGTTTCACCCTTCCACCTCGGCCTCGTCTGGTTGACAAGACTATCTAATTGTATCCTCGGTTTGGAACACCTCAGATCAAATAGCATCAGATTGGCGTCGTATGTGGGAAACGAACAAAAAATCATTTCCCAAACCCCTCTTCATGCACTAAAAGCAACAATACCTAAGAACACATTCGATTGCCAGCCCGACCTCGCATGCACGATGCCCCAAGGTTATCAAAAATAAAGTTTTATATTGTTATTATTATAGGTAATTAACTCTACTAATATGAACTACTAGGTCAAAGGAGAATTGTGTCAATTGGCAGATTGTAGTAAAACTTGTCAAACTGTCATGACATAGATTCTAGTGTTAATTCCAATTTGTATAAGGCTTGGGTGATAATGATGATGATTATATAGGTAATTATATAATAATAGGGATGGTTTCATATCTATCATAAATAATCAGTTTGGGACTTAATACACCCTGTTCTCAATCAGACACGAACCATTGACGGCTCTAGCGTCGAATCCATTCACCCCTAAACCAATTTTCTATATAAAATATTGACTTGACCAGCTGTTAATCATCCATCTGGTTGAACCATGAAACAATTCCAATAAATCAATAGGTCATAGGTTGCACATTAAACCTCTTTCTTTTCAATCATAAGATATCCTCTATTTTTAATGTCAACTACCTTCATCCCATCCATGATCATGGTTTGACAAAAGTTTTTAGTATTGATTATGGGCATTTTGGTCGTTCCCAACTAGCTAGTGACTCAGATGTTTGGCTAAATAATTCATACCTAGAAGGTAGTTTAGATGCCTAGCTGAATGATTTCTACCTGGAATGTGGCTTGGACACCTAGCTAAATGGTGACGAGCTGAAGAGGTGGCTCTGATGCCTAGCTGAACGGTGACGAGCTGGAGATGTGGCTCTAATGCCTAGCTGAATGGTGACAAGATGGAGAGGTGGCTCGGATGTCTAATTGAGTGGTGACGAGCTGGAAATGTGGCTTGGACGCCTAGCTAAATAGTGACGAGTTGGAGAGGTGGCTCTGATGCCTAACTGAATGGTGACGAGCTGGAGAGGTGGTTCTGATGCCTAACTGAGTGGTGACGAGCTGGAGAAGTGGCTCTGATGTCTAGCTGAATGGTGACGAGCTGGAGAGGTGGTTGTGATGTGAATCAGAGATTTTAAGATAGTTAAATGTGAGAGACCTAAAGAGCTACAAGAACTAAAAATTGCGCATCTACCTGAGTCTCAGGGGCTGATGCCCTTATATAGTTGGGCTACCATGGGTCTCGCGAAATGCTCCCGGAAACCTCGGCCCACGACGTAGGGGTCCGTTCCACTTTGGAAGGAGGATAACTTGCCAGTTAATAAGGCTTACCGTTTCCCTCCAATTCGAGCAAGATGAGGATAAGGCCTACGGTTACGCGGCGTGATCCCGAAAGGTTCGGAGACAACTGGCAAGCTTCTAGAGAGGTAGGTCGCCAGGTTGGCGATAGAGGCAGATCGCCAGGTCAGCGGCAGAGTTAAGTCACCAGGTCGGCAACAGAAGTAGATCGCCAAGTCGACGGCAGAGGCAGGTCGCCAGGTTGATAGTAGAAGTAGGTCGGCGGCAGAGGCAGATCGCCAGGTAGAACCCCATTTTGGCTTAAGGCAAATTGTTGCCTAGGTGATGTTGGGATGTATTCCAGCTGTTTTGATATGCCATGTGTCATGATGTCAGTGGAAGGCCAAATTTGCCCTCATCAAGTACCAACTACCAACCTACTTGATCCAACCCTTCTCCTTTGTTCAAGCTTAGAATTGTTAGTGTAAAACAAAAGTCATTTGTTTTATTTGCAATTTTTTTATGTGCTTTTTTCTTTTTATTTTTATCCATTTCCGTCATTGATAACAGTAATTCTCATTTGTTAACTTATCATTATAACCATGACCAATTTTGTAGTCCTTTATTATGACACGAGTTGAGAATCATTTTGAAATTACCTCTACCTAAAACATGATGCCTTGATCAAAGACCAAACACATCTAATGTCCTCCATCCAAGTTTTGTTGTGGGGAGAGGGTTTTTCTTAAAGCTCGATATTCAGGTGGTTTAGGTGGTCATTTGACCAATTTTAGACAGTAATGCAAATGATTCTCAACGAAAGGTCAATTAAGTAAATCGGTTACGAATTATATAGAGGGTGTTTTTGTAAATGACCCAAATAAAAATTAGTAAATATTTGTCTAACAATAACCAATAAAAATATTAATTAAAATAGAATAAAATTTAATTAAATATGAAAAAAATAATTTAAATTCCACTTAGAAATACTACCAAGTTAAAATGATTAAAAAATAACTAAGTTTTATCTACCAATAATTAAAGAATAAGGAATCAATAAAAATAGCAATTCATAAATTAAAATTGAAATCCATTTAAAAATAACTAACATTTATAAAATTTTAAATTTATTTAATAAAATAAAACTATAGCACATTTATATTGGATTCGAAAATAATAAAGATGTTATAAGATCCTTTCTACTTCAATTTTATTTAACAAGACCCTTCCATTGCGCAGGCCAAGCCAAGTCAAATAAAAACAACCCATTTACAATCCATATAAAAACTATTATATTATTCTTCTAAATAATAATTTTATTATAAAAATAATTTATTTTTATTATTTAAAAATAATAATTATTAAATATAACTTTATAAATAATAAAAGTAAATAACAAAAAAAAATCATATGCATTTGAAATACATCATTTCTTTCCAAGAGCAATGTAATCTGACTTGCATTAATTTCAAATTTAAAATACATTATTACATTAATTTATGATTTTTCCATTATTTATTTTTAGGGCAAATGATATAGGGTTTACATTTCCTTTTAATCCCTTCTGTCATCATATTGGATATAGGGTTTCCCTGTGCATCACACGGGCCCTCCAATCAGTATAGATAGATATCATTCAGGAATCTAACACCCAGTAGAATGTGGAGGCCCAAGGTTGGAAATCACTCAATTTGGTCATCTCATTAACCTTTATGATGCAGTAAAATTCTTACAAGGCGAAAAATAGGTTGGAGGAAGAATTAGAGAATAGGGAAGTGCCAAAAGAGCCCTTGGTTAAAGTAAAAAGTGAAAATGGTTTTCGATAACCATTTCAAGTAGATTCGGTAAAATGTTTTGGGTAGGACTGCAAACGGTATCCCATTATCCGATTCCAAATTTAAATTCAATCCTATTAAGCAAGACCCAAATTCACTCCATTCATAGTTGGATCAAATATGGATAGACCCCTATCAGATATGATATAATCCGATTCAATATATATATATATATATATATATATATATATATATATTATATCTATCATTGAAGTTGTTCTTAATGCTGAATTTTCACTAAATTGTCATATGCTCAAGTTTTATACAAGTAATTTTCAATCCATTTTGTTGATAAAAGATATTATTAGTCATTTTTAGCTCATCTTATTAATAATATATAATATTTTAGTTATTTTTAATCTAATTTATTTACACTATTTAATATCCGATTATAATCCAAATTCGATTTGAATCCACCAAATATTAGATAGATATGATCCCATTCAAATTCAAATGTTAACAAATCAAATTCGGATATGCCTATGTCCGATACTCCGATTCGATCCGATCCGTTTGCAGCGGTAGTTTTGGTAGGGGAAGGAAGAAAAGGGTTTTTCTAGAAAGAGAAAGTGAATGGTAAGAACCAAAACTGGGTCCTATATGACAAGCTCTCCCCTTGTATTTCATTTTCATTTTCCATTCTTTTATCTCATTTTCTTCGTACCAACAGTGTAAAGGCATTGATACAGGCACGTGGCTCGAATGACTCCATCCCCTCCGGAAGAGAATGTGATGATTGTGCAAAGAGAGATCAACCAATGAATTTATAAATTCAGTACAATTAAATTAAGCCTAAAGATCCTTACTCTGGGAAAAGAAGGTAAGGGCTACCATATCCTACACGGTTACACCACACCCAGGTATTGCCGTACTAGCTTGTAGACCTGCGATAGGACATTTGAGGAGAAACTGTCCGAAGTGGCTTCAGTTGCACACAAGCGTTTTTAAAATAACTAACACTCTTCTAGGATTAACTGTTTTTGCAACAACTGATTCATTTATCAAGGCCAAGTGATGCCATAAAACAGATCCCTACGGCCCTACCCCCCCCCCCCAAAAAAAAAACCCTTCAGATCACCAACTCCCACTAGCCTAACAAAACTGTAAAAGAATTGATTTACATAATTCATATGGGATAAGCACCAAAAAACCTGCTTATCCTTTGACACTGAAATCAAGATCATGGTAAATCCAATATCAATTCAATTCCCCATGTATATGATTAAATGCCACCAATTAGCAAATGCAGGATAAGAGTCGCTGCTAGTTCTTGTAGATCAAACTTTTAGACCGGTTAGTAAATTCCCACGTCCCCATTAACAGGAAACAAAAACAAAAACAATAGATAGGCCCCAAAAAATAGGTTATTTTCAAGCAGTAAGAATCACCTTGGCATGCACCTGAGTACTTAAAGCACTGATTTATTCAGAAAAATGAAGGGACCTCTGAAGAGGGGAAACTGCTTGGTGCAGTAGTAAAATATCTAGCTGACAAGCATGAGACGCAGATTTGAGTCTGAAAATGGCCACTTCATGCAAAAAAAAAAAAAAAAGTTGAAGGCTAGGCCCAAATCCAGTCCACCCCTCCCAAAACCCCAGATAACCAGGACCAACATTTGGTAATGGCCCTAAAGGACCTCTGGAACCAATAGTTATCCATGAGGTACTCTTCTGAAACTTGTCCCGAGTGTTGCTCCAAAATTTTGCTTAACTTTCCAAACCAAGCAAAGGACAACTTATCTTTCAATTTTGTTCATCCCCACCGTTGCTGCCAGAGTACTAACTCAAAGCCTTGGTTTGTCATTGCTTAAGGGTCAGTTATGGCCTGTTTCTATACCTCAAGCCGCAAAAGGACAGAGTAGTCAAACCCCAAATTGCAAAACAGACAGGCATCTCAACTATCGCCAATCCCGGCAGTTACCACACTTCCATCTATCTCCCCAAGAAGGCTCCACCCACGGTGAACAATGGCTATGTATCCACATCCCACAAACCTCACAAGAAAGGTCTGTAGCTGGCTCTGTGTAAGAACATATATCACAAGGTATCTTGTTAACAGTGGGTTCCAAAGCTGTGGCTAAATCATGATTACCCTCTATGGTATCAGTTCTATATTGTTCAGGTGGATTGTAGGATGTCAATGCACCACTACCAGAAGAATTTCCCAAACCCCCCGAAATGTCCATTGGCGCATCAAATAGATCCAATTGGTCATCATCTGATGCCAGCAACTCAGTAAAAGAGAAGTATGTCTGAGGTTCAAATTCCATGTCCTCATAGTTCAAGCTTCCATAGTTGATCATCTCATTTGTTAAGCCATCAGCAGAGAACTCCCATTCAACGTTTTCCACTCGAGGAGATGATGCTTTCTCAGTAGCATTTAAATGGTTGCTTGGTTCAAGAAAAGTGGACACCACATACGATGGAACCGGGCTTGGATTAAGAACATCTGCATCCTTCTCATGTTTTTGTCTTCTGACTGGGAGTTTCTGTGGTCCAGCACTACTCCATTCAGGGCCAACTTCTAATGAAGGTTCTGCGGTCGGCTCAACCATTTCAACAGAGAAACCAAGTAGATCATTCTCCTCTATGATTACCTCTTCCATCTTTGTGTCTGGTCTATTAAATTCACATTCTCCAATTTGCCCACAGCTGCTTCCAGAGACAGGGCCCATTCCTGTACTTGATTGCTTTGAAGCTCTCATACGTGGTGGCTTCCTGCATTCTTGAACCATATAGGGGCATATGGGTGCACGATTCCTACGGCACTTGCAGCACCGAAACCCCACAACATCAAATATTTTGGACTCCTCCAGCTGGAGGGCATCAGCATGATACCAATCTGCAAAGAAAAACAAATCCAGTGTGTCAACACAAAAAAAAAAAAAAATGAAAAGAAAGAAATTCCAGGGTGAAAAATCTTGTAGAGGCAGAGGCTTACTTCTGCAAGTTTCACAGCAGATATACATCAGATCAGGATTATATGGCGTGCGGCAGAGACGACAAATGGGTGCCCTTGGTGGGTCCATGTGTGAATTCCCTTTACACAAAATGTTGCTTAACCTGAAGTTGGTACCAGTGTCCTCGGCATTCTTCTTCCTCCATATAAGACCATAGGTAGGATTAGTCACACGTCGAACTTTGGTTGCTGACTTAGACTTAGGAGTAGGTGCCTTCATCTCTTGATGGGTGTCCATATTTCCAGTGAACAGAAATGGCTGAAGATAACCATTTTGCTTTGTGCCTTCTGTGATTGTAAACTCCTGCTTTTCTTGTGCTTGCAGTGACACTTGAGTGATCAGGGACTTCTTACTAACCTCATTCAAAGTGACAATTTTGGCACGGTAACACTTGTTGCATGTGATCAAAAATTCCACCTCATCTTTTGCATGAACTGTCGAAGATATGACACAATCCTTGTGACAATAACCTGACCAGAAATGCAGCAGCAAGAGAGTTCATAGAGCTGGACTGACATTTAAACCAATATGATGGTATGGCCATCCAAAAGAATATAACAGTGATTTAAAAGGCATGCCTAGGCGAACAGGCGAGGCGCATTTCGGGGTAGGTGCCTCGCCTGGTGCACCTTGTGCCTCAGCTCAGGCATGCACCTTTTGAAACTTTGACGCTGTTTTGCTTTTTTTGTGTCTAGTGGCTGGGCCAGGGGCTCCACCCCCGGACCCCTGTGCCACGTCCCTCAAGGCAAGCCCAAACAAATCCACATCAGGTCTTAAATTTTTAGTTCTCACACAACCAGAGATTCGAGAACCCCCTATTTGGTACTGTTGTTCTTTTTTTTTTTGATAAATAACAGACTTTTATTAAAAGATAATAATAGAAAATGTACAAAAGGAGGGGTAAAAATTCTTAACCCTCCCAAGAAAGCAATTCAGATTACAATGTTGCCCAAAAGAAATTAACTCTTCCCACCCCTTGTTTGGCCAATGAATCTGCCAAGGAGTTGGCGCACCTCTTTATCCATTGAAACTTGACTTCCATATTTTGGGTGGGATGTCTAACTTTCTTTTTTTTCATTCAGAAACTTCCACAGACTAGAAGTATCCTTCATTAACCAATTTATAGCCAACTTAGAGTCACCTTCCACTATCAATTTTCTGATATTTAACTCTTGAGCTCTTTTTAACCCTTCCAAGACAGCCAATATTTCAGCTCTAAGAGAGTCCCCCCATCCAATAGAACCAGAATACAATGCAATAATTTGACCTTCATCATCCCTGAAGCTCCCCTATACCCGACAGACCTGGATCTCCTAAATAATTTTCAAAACTTTGCAAAGTTTTAACCCAATGGATCACCCTTATAGAAATCAGTTCAATGATTACACCCTTATTTCTTTCTTTCCCATGAAAGGTCAGTTGATTCCTTTCCTCCCAGACTGTCCAACATACAGCTGCTCTTACACACCACAGAATTTTCCCTCTCTTCTTCAGACCCCCTAACAATAGTAGAATGAAATAGGCTTTGTACATTTGGGGGAGGGGTCCACCTGCCACCAAAAAGAAAGAAAAACCAACACCAGATTTCTGAAACAAATGGGCAAGAAACCAATAAGTGATAGCAAGTCTCACCATTCTTCTTACAAAGGATGCACCAGTGTGGGGATAAACACCAATTAGGCCTTTTTCTTTGAAGTAAATCGCAAGTGTCACACTTTTCAAGGAAAACTTCCCAACAAAAAAACACTAATTCTAAGAGAAATTGGTCTACCCCAGACTTCCAAAACTAGAAAAGGGATTCCAAAATTAATTCTGTTGTTCATTCATTCATCCTAATAAAATGTCTTCTTAAAAAGCAATAAAAACTATAAAATCATTATTTTTGTGTGAGAACTAAGAATTTAAGACCTAACATGGACTTGTTTGGGCTTGCCTCGAGGGGCGTGGTACAAAGGCAGCTCGTAGAATTAGGAATGTAATATGTTTTACATCACATTAGCTACTTGAAGTAATGCAGTTGAGAAAAAAAGAGATTGTGGGTTTTATATGCTTGAAAATGTTTTATATATTTGATTTTATTTTTAAATTCTCATTTGAATATGCTTTACATGTTATATTTATGTTTTTTCATATTAGATAATAGGTTTTTTAAAACATTTATTTTAAAATTAAAGTATATTTTTATTAATATCATGTTTAATATTTTTCTATTTTTTGCATTTTTTATTTTTTAGCCTTTTTTTTTATTTTTGCGCCTTGCCTTGCGCCTTGTGCCTCATGCACAAATTGACCCCTACGCCTTGCGCTTTTAAAACACTGGAATATAATAAGAAAATTATTTTCAGTAGTCCAAATGTTAACATACACTAGTTGCTATAAAAGAATTAAGTACTTGGAGATATATGCTATGTCATGTACTACTGGGGAAAAAAAAGCAGAAGGTTTTATTCACAGCTTGTTCATTGTGCAGATCCCACTTGTATATGACAGRCATCAGACAGGTAGGAGTTTCAACCAAGGTTCAAAGTATCAATACGCCCCTGTGTATCGGCAGGGGCGTATAGGTACTTAAAATACACACTCAATGGTTTTTTTTAGTTTTTTTTTAAATATGATTTTTAGAGATGTTTTTAATGGCTTTTTACTGAAATAAACTAAGGTCCCGAAACACCTGTAAATAGGTGTATCGAGACCAAAAGATACGATACGATACACCGATACACCCGATACGAGGCGTATCGTATCAATACTTTGAACCTTGGTTTCAACCTTATTCAGACTCCATGCACCAAGATCTACTCTTATTAACTGGGAAAAACCAATCTACTGAATTTCTTGTTTGTCCACATGTCTGCCAGAGCAACAAGCAACTCTTCTTTTTAAGGTAAAGTACATCAGTATTAAAACCATAAAGAAGTGCCTGGTCCTCTATACAATGCGATGCTGTACATGTACAACCCTTTAGGACCTCAAAAAAAAGCCCACCCTGATGCAGTAGGGCTGCAATAAACTGACACAAGTTGGAAGGAGAGAAGTATAGAGAGAGGAGAAATGGTAGAGAAAGAGAAAAGGTTTCCCTAATCTATTATTATATGGAAGAAATGAGTGTAACTGAGAGATTTTAATACCTTTACATGAACTACACTTGACAGCATTCCTGTAAACCAAGAAAAATGCTATCAGATGAATTGGCAGTAAATTACATGGTAAAAGGCTACAAAATGAAAGCAGTACAAAACCAATACTGAAAAGGATGATAAGTAAACAAATAAATACCCGAGTAAGACATCTTGTTGACATGAAGCACAAGAACACTTCTCTAGTTTCTCTGCCTTACACACAAGATATGTGAATATATCCCTCCGAGAAGTTCTTAATTGTCTTATTTGTAACTTGGACAATAAATGTGAGCCCTCCTTAACTGATGGCAAAGGAACCTTTTCCATCTTCTCTTCATATTCTTTAATTAGATATAGCGGGACCTGAGCTTCAGAAAACCAAAACTTGTCCTCTCCATCCTGGACATGCTCTACTTCTAGAATATTTTTCAAAACACGGGAAGGGAGGTGCTTCTGGTTACCAAAAGCTAGTCCATATCTTATCTTATTTTCCTGAATTTTCTTATCACAAATGACTGCATTTCTGTAAGCAGAAGTTTCAGTCTCTGGTCCCTTTCCATCTTGAAAGTTCTTGTCCAGATCACTCCATCTTAAATGAAGATCAAGGTATCTGACCTGATGCAAATAACAAAATTGAACACAAATTAGATTGCCCTGAGCAGTATAAGCCACATATGCAGGCATAAATGCTAGAAAAAAAAATAATATCAGAGAGAAACCGATCAAATAGTATTCATAGCTAGAGGCAGAATAGGGAAAGAGAACAGATGGACTTAGAACCAGGAACGTGAATGAAACTTGAATGACAAACCTGAAGTGCAAGCTGTGATGCATTCTTACTCATTTCTACTGCAGTTCTCCAAGCAAACTGCCTGCTTCTTCTAGGAATCTCAGAACCTTCAGCATAATAAATACCAGAAATCTTCCGAGAACCACCTGATGTTACACAAATGTAAATAAAATTTACAAGAGAACCAGGAGAAGCAATGTCAAATGTCTAAAGTATGTTTAAAGTTAATCTTTACCCTGCCTAGCTGCCCTTTTAACTACAGAACATGGTAAAATTCCTTTCTGAAATACAAGCTTTGAGAGTTTTCCTCCTCGCCACCAGTTTACATCCCTCAGATTGTCCTGGGAAGGATCAGTAATGATCTCAGATGCTGTAGATTGCTTCCTCTTCCGCCTCCCTGGTCCACGTTTCTGAGTTGATCCACCAAGATGACTTGCACTTTGGGCAACAGAAGACTCAACTGACCTATCATCCACAAGTTTGGCCCACTCTGCAGAAAAGGCAATTGGGCGAATGTTTTCCTCAAGCTGCAAAACAGAAAAATCAATGGAGCTTGGTATGTATACCAGTACATGCCAGGAGCATGGCGTGTATATTAACATGGATACATATGCATACATCTGATGTTTACTGTTACTTGATATTACAAACTTTTCACAATCAATGTTTTTAAAACTGGACCAGACCAACTGGTTGAACAGGTACGAACAGGGCATTGACCAAAAACTGGTTCAACAGAAAACAGTTGGTTCAGGAAACATTGTGAAGTTGAATTGCCCAATTAAACCAGGAAAACCAAAACGAGCCCCTTTCCAGATTGATGCCTGGTCTGGGTTTCAAAACACTTTTTGCAAAGATTTTTTTTTATTAGTAACATAAACTTTTATTAAAAAATACAAGTGGAAGTATAATGGTCAACTAACTTGTACCTTTTTTGGCTACAGACTAACCTTAAACCATTGTGCAATCTTAACCATTCCTTTAACTTCTAATGCAAGTAGTAAAGTGAGTAATGGCTCAAAAAAAAAAAAAAAAAAATAACTTCTATAAACTTGAAACAACAATCTTAGTATTCACAAATATAAATACATAAAAATAGGAAAATTTTAGATTTATTTCATTGGCCTTCACATCAAAATGAAAAATGGAATCCAGCCAATGAGGTTATTGTACTAACCTCTGACGATGTGGAGTAGTTTGGTATTGTATGGGGTGATTTTAAAGTGGGGTYAGAATTTAGGGTCCATTTGGTTTCCCGGAATAGGTGCCTGGAATTGTTGGTATTCTGATTCTATCCATTTGTTTAGTCAGAAAGGGATTCCAATTCCCATTCTTGGCAGAACGGGATTCTCCCATATGGGGAATGACCATTCCAGGCCCCCCGGGGATGGGATTCCCATTCTAGAGTTTCTCAAAAAGTAAAGAACTCCTAACAAAAAAACCTTTATATTAATAAAATATTATTAAAATAATAATAACTAGTAAGATGATGATAATAATAATATAGTAATAAAATATTAATAAGGTCATAAAATAATAATAATATATTAATAATTAAATGATAAAATGATAATAATACAATAATAATGAAAACTTAATAAGATATTTGTAAAAAATAATAAAATAATAAATCATTAGTAACATATATAAATAAAATACTAGTAAAATAGTAATATAATAATAGTATTGTAATAAAATATTAATAATTTAATAATGAACTACAAATATATCATTAAATATAATAATAATAATGTACTAATATAATATTAACATAACTAAAGTAATAAAATAAGAATATATTAATAATTAAATAACTAAACAAAAAAAATAAAATAGTAATAAATGTTAATAAATATAAAAAATGTAATATAAAATAACATTGTTAAAAGTAAGAATAAATAATAAAATATTAATAAATTGATACATAAAAATTTTGATTTATTCCAATTTCGGTTCCACATGAACCAAATAGCAACATCTGGAATCTGGCCTCGACTCCCATTTGAACCAAACAAGCATCAGGAATAGGTGATTCCAATTTTGATTCTAGGGGTTTTCGATTCTGATCCTGACCTTAAACCAAACACACCCTTAAGGTGTTTTGTGTTTTGGTGGTTTGGTACTTTGGTATGGTTTCAAGTTTGTTGGAAGTTTTTGTTGGTACAAGTTTTTTCTGGTTTGGGGAGTTTGTCTTTGGGAGATTGAATTGTAAGCTTGGAGTTGGATTGTTTTGGGCAAGGTTTTAAATTTCGCAACGTATCGACCAATACGGGCCGATACATATCGTTTCGAAAGAGTTCCGATACACGAAACATGTATAATTACATGGTTTTATATTTTTTCATCTGTATGGGACCGATAAGGATAAGGATTTGTATCGGACCGTTTCGAGTATGTATTGGCCGATACAACTCGAAACGGGCCGATACGCATTATGTATCAGCCGAATTTAATTTCCCTCTTCTTTTAAGATTTAAATTATCTCTTCTCTCTCTCATTAATATCAATTTTAATTAAGTCTTAAAATTTGAGACGTCACTAAATGCTAATATAATTTAATTAAATGCTCATTTAAGTTACCTTTGATTACAGCATTTAATATGTCATTAAATGTTATTTAAGTGAAATAACTTGTTAAAAATCACAAACCAAAGGTAACAAGTTTCGAACCCAAGTCATTTGCTTATAACAATAATTAGTTAACCGTTATGCCAACCTTAATTACTTATTAGAATGACATATTTTTTTATACTTAAAGTAATCTTTCTTGCCTTCGTGGATGTTTCCCAACAAATGCTATAAATTTGATTATTAATATTTATATAATAATTAGATGAATACGAGTTATATTTATTTATTAAAAATTAAGGTATATATTAACTTGTATACATAATAAATATTATCTAAATCTATATATAATAAATATTACTACATATACACACACATTTTAGTTCTATTATTTTTCAATGGTTACTAATTATATCCCGATACTTTATATAAATCATTAAAGAATGGTTTTTATGTTTAAATAAATTAATTATACTCACATAAAACTCATTTTTATTATTGTTCATATTTTTAAGGATTGTTTTTTGGATTTCTAGTGTATCCATGCATATCTTGATTTTTCGTCTGTATCTATACATTTCCAAAGCGTATCTCGATACGTTTCTTAAAAGTACCTTTCCGATACACCTTGCGTTTCCGATACTTTGAACCTTGGTTTTGGGGGGTTGTTTGTTTCTTCTCTCAAGTGACTCTCGATCACCTTTCTTTTTTCTTTTAATAAATTTTATTTATTACCAAAAAAATGTGGGAGTCGCTCATTTGAAATTTGTAAATGACAGAAAAATATTGAGGGTGAAACCAACCAATAGAAACTTGGGTTTGTTGATTAAATAGATTTCAAATTTAAAGGTGAACATAGAGTCAAATCAATATGGAGGAAAGGAAGGTAGCTTCTTTTGTAGAAATTTTGGGATGTGCTACAATCTCTAGGCAAGGTTCAAAATTTCAAAACGTATCAGGCCGTATCAGCCAATACGTATCGTTCCGACAAGAGCCCGATACGCGGAACATGTAGAAATCAACTATTTCGTTTCTTTTTGTATGTATTGCACCAATACAGGCCCGTATCAGGCTGTTTCGGCTCTATATCAGTCGATACGGGCCCAAAACAGCCCGATACACTTGATTTCTTTAGTGCCCTTCATTCATTAATCTCTTTAATTGCTTCTATATCACAGATTACACTGTGGATGACATGTTGAGGAAGTGGGGTGAAATTGCAAATTGCACGCAGACCAAGTCATTAATGAATGTGGCTTGGACTCCCCCACCTAGTGGATTCTTGAAATTAAATTTTGATGGATGCAGTAGGGGAAATCCGGGGAAATCGGGGATTGGAGGTGTTTTTAGGGACGAAAATGGGATCATCTCTACCATGTTCTCAGGCCCAATTGGAGTGGGTGACTCCCTTAGAGCTAAGATCTTTGCAGTTATGGAAGGAGTCCGGAAGGCTGAGGAGTTGAACATCAAGAAACTCATAATTGAAGAGGATTCAGAGGTGGTGATAGGGTGGCTGACTAAAGATCAAAATGGTTTATGGAAGTACAACAATGAGAGGAGGAAATTCATGTGGTTGGTGCAGGAGATGGAAGTTAAAACATATTGGGTTAAAAGATCGGCTAATTCCCTAGCTGACAGTTTAGCTAAACAAGGGGCAGAAAGGGATTCACTGTTTTGGGCTAAGCTGTAACTTTAGTGTGTTCTTTTCTTCTTTTCTCTTGTTCTTCTTTTTTTCCTTTTATGAGGCTCTTTGTGGCTCTTGGAAGATAAGTGTGTTTGTCTTCCTCCTGTAAATTTTCTACTGATGATTTAATGAAAGTGTTATTGATCCAAAAAAAAATTGCTTCTATATTTATTTCTAACTTTTCTTTCATTAATTAGTCAATTACTCCTACTTTAAATTTAAATTTGAATTTCAGCGCTTAATTCGAATTCTCTTATTAATTCCACTAATTAATGATACTCTCTCACTAATTCCGCTAATTAATGAGCTTGTCTCATTAATTTCGTTTTGTTAGTATAAAAACTATAAACTTTAAACAATGGCAAAATTCGAACCTTAGTCATTAGGTTTTAACAACCGTAAGTCACCACTTGGACATGCCCATTTGCTTGTTATGGTCGTATACATTATTATTCTTAAGTAAATTTTCTATTTTCTTAATGGATATTTATTAATAAATGTTAGAATTAATTATTAAAATTTATATACTAATAAATATTAATATAAATTGATGTACACACATAACATTTATATTGGTTATTTGAAAATTGATGTATACACATTCATATTTTAGTTTTTTTGTTTTCTCACATTTTATTTATTCCATCATCTTTCAACAATTATTAATTGTAATTATTTACAATTAAGTTATTGTAAATATGGATTTTTACATTTAAATAACTTATTTACAATCATTTAAAACTTGTAATTGTTGCTAGTAATATATTTTTTAGGATATATTTGAATTTCCTAACATATTTATACGTATCTTAATTTTCCGTCCACATCTATGCATATCCAAAGCGTAAAGCGTATCCCAATATGTCCCTTAAAATTGTCTTTCCGATACTTTGAACCTTGGCTCTAGGTCAATAAAGTATTTAGGTGACAAACCCATGATCAATAATTTTTGGAACCATGCTGTAGAAAAGATACTGAAGAAGCAAACTATATGGAAAATGAATTACATATCAATCGATGGTAGAATGATTCTCACTAATGTCGTGTTTGGTTTGAAAGAAAAGGTAGGGAAATTTATACAACATTGTATAGGTTTCCCTACCCTTTCTTTCAAACCAACACAGCCTAAGCCTAGCCTAGCTAATCTTCCGATGTACTACTTATCAATTTTTAATATGCCATAGGCTATAGTAAAGAAAGTTAAGAAGATTATGAGAGGTTTCTTGTGGGAATCAAAGGAAAGGAAGAGGGGTCATTTAGTTAGATGGGAAATGG